GTGCTGTACCTCATATCTTCACAGCTCAAGGCGAGCACTCTACCACTTGAGCCACAATGCCACTTCTGGTTTTCTGGTGGTTTATTGGAGATAGGAATCTTACAGGCTGGCTTTGAACCCTGATCCTCAGATCTCAGCCTCCTGAGTAGCTAGGATTACAAGCGTGAGCCATCAGCATCCAGCAGTCTTTTTTTTTTAAAGGAGAGAATTATATTCCTGGACTGACATACTACTGTGATTCCCATCTAGGACACAAAGAGCTAACATAATACACAAATTTTTCAATTTTTCTAAAGATGATAACTACCAATGTGCTGCCACAAAGTCCTGAACAAGTAAGGTAAAAAAAACAGTAACAAACCACTCAAGATTCGGTGTCTTGGTACTTCATGTGTCCAGCAACACAACACAGAGTACAGTCCTGAAGAAGCAATGTAGTAAGGAAAGCAAGGAAGAAGCTGCAGAATATGAGAACTTTTGACCAAAACGATGAAGGAAGCTGGATAAAAGTGCCAGGAACAGATTGGTAAGAGATGAAGGCTGTAACCTCTGAGAGATTCTACTTCTGAGTCAGGTAAACAAGTATTTCCAGCCAGACACCAGTGGCTCATGCCTAGCTACTGAGGCTGAGATCTGAGGAGTTCAGTTCAAAGCCAGCCTAGGTAGGAAAGTGAGTCTAATCTGTACTAGCTACCAAAAAAAGAAATAAAAGAAAAAAGGAGGAAAGAAAAGAAAAGGCCAAAGTGGAGCCATTGCTTAGGTGGTAGAGTGCTAGACTTGAGCAAAAAGGTTAGGGGCAGAGCCCAGGCCTTAAGTTCAAGCATAGGACTGGCACAAATAATAGTAATAGTAGTAGTAGTAGTAAGTAGTACTTGAGATCACAAATGACCAGACATCAAAAAATGTGTTAGTAAAGATATGGAAAAATTGGAACCCTCATATATTGCTGGTGGTAATGTAAAATGGTAATTTCTTTGGAAAACAGTCTGGCAGATCCTCAAAAAGTAAAATGTAAAATTACTATCTCACCCAGGAACTCCACATCTAAGTGGAGAAATGAAAACACATGTTCACACAACTTGTACATGAATGTTCATATAACCACTATTCATAATAACCAAAATGTGCAAACAACCTAACTGAACAAGAATAGGAATGTGTGATATATCCATTAAAACAGTTGGTCAGAGAAGAAATAAAATACTAAAATATAGTACAGCATGGATGAAAACAGCATAGTGAATGATAGAATCCAGTCATAGAAGACTAGAAATTAAGACATTCCAAATTATAAAAAATGTCCAAAATAGACAAATCTGTATAGCCAAGTGGTAGCTAAGAGAATACTTAGGACTGGAATATTAATGAGAAATGTTCTAAAAATTGACTGTGGTAATGGCTGCACAATTCTGCATACTACACTTTGAGTAATTACAACTATACATTTATCATGCCCCGTCCCAAGGTTAGCCATTTAGTCCCTAAAAACATAACAAAAGTTAAAAATTAGTTTTTACTTTATACATATATTTTAATTTATTTATTTTTGTCGGTTGTGGGGCTTGAACTCTGGGCCTGGGTGCTGTTCCTCAGCTCCTTCAGCACTAGCTCAAGGCTAGTGCTCTACCACTTGAGCCACAGCGCCACTTCTGGTTTTCTGGTAGTTTTTTGGAGATAAGAATCTCAGAGACATTCCTGCCTTGGCTGGCTTTGAACTGTGATCCTCAGATCTCAGTCTCCTTAGTAGCCAAGATTATAGGTGTTAGCCTCCAGTGCCCGGCTTACTTAATATTTTGGCCAGTAAAATGTAGGGAGGAAGCACAATTCTTTTTCTCACAAGCGTACATACCCAGTATATGTAAATTGTTTAAGTGTGCATTTAACACTGACCAAAATGCATTAACTCAAAAGAAGGAAACTTTTAGTTTCTCAATTTTGTTATGTTTTGGAGAACCTAGCCATACACCACACACACACAAACACGCGAGCACACATGCACGCACACTCCCACAGAGCACTTATCAATTTATTTCCAGTGTTAAAATCGTGGTTTAATTGTTGATGTAATTAAAAATTTCAGGGGTTGGAGGCTTGCCTCAGGTAGCAGGGTGCCTGCCAATGAGTAAAAAGTGTCACATAGCAAGTTTGAGTCCTGGTCTCAGCTGGAAAAATGTTTTTTCATTTAAAAATATACTAGTGCATTGCTTAATATTAAAATAGTAAGGCCAAGTATATAAACTTATGTACACTGATCATATGACATATATACACAAATTTTAAAAATACAGTATTAATTCAGGTGGAAGTTTTCCACTTTATGCAATCTTAATACGACATATATGTATTACTTATAATTAGCACCAGAAAAACTTGAGAAAGGTTTACAGCATTGTTGAGAAGACAAGGCAAATGCGAAAAAGGACCACAACATACACAGGGCAGCACATAATTAGGTTTGAAATGAGTGCTACACACCGAGGGAACCACTCATAAAATGTTTTGTTGACATACACCAATAACACAGATATAGACATACACACAGAGATCTAGACCATAGCTATCAATAAATACAGACCCGAATCAAGAAATACCTATGGATACATCTCACTTAAGGCCCTCTTTGGAGACCCACTGCTTCGCTCAGTAAAACATCTTCTAGCACGTCCTCGAAAAGAAAACGAAGTTGTGTTTTGGAACGCGTGCAACACGACCCCGTAGGGCACGCAGGGCAGCGCCCGCGGCTCCCGCTCGGCCCCGCCGCGCGGTGACGGCCCACTCGAGGCCCTTCCGTTTGCGCCGCGCCCCATCAGGTTAGCCGGAGTCACGCGACCGGGCAGGAAGGAGGCGGGGGGCCCGTCGGGGGTCGGTCCCAGAGACTCCCCGAGGAGCCGGCGCGAGGCACCGCGTCAGGTGAGCAGGCGCCGGGCTCGGGTGCGAGCACGGGGGGGGGGGGGGGGGGGAGGAAGGAGGGTGGGGGCCGAGCTGACAGCCGGGACCGCGGGGGCAGAGCGGCCGTCGGGGGGCTCCGAGGGGAGCCGCCTACTTACTTCTTGTGGTCGGTGAAGAAGCGAGCTTGGAGCTGAGCCATGGCGGAATACACCAAGAAGACCTGCTCACTTGAACGTGCGGTTAACAGCCAGAGGCCCGGATCCGGCCTCTGAAGACACAAACGGGGAGGCGAAACCCTGGCGAGGCGTGCGGGAACCGCGGTGGCCGACCCGCTTCCCAGAGCAAGTCCACGAGGGGCCCAGCCCCAAAACATCAACTACCGAGTCCTAGATGGACGACGCATCGATTAGCAGAGCGTAGTCTTAAAGGCAGCGTGTCCTCATAACCTTTTTAAGGCTTCCTCCCATAGCTTTAGACCTGTGTCCAACGAGGAAGACACGGAAATGCCCTCCTCAAATGCCTTAGAAAAAGGGAAAGAGAAAAGGGCTGATTTTTACATGGGATGCCTCAGACTAACACCTCTGTACTACAACCCCCAGAAAGCAGCGCGTCTCGGCGCTCTGACCGCTGGGAAATGCAGTCTTTTTGCTCAACGGCTTGCATTAAATCCTCCTGACTTCAGATTGCCTCCGCGTTCAGCTTTGACTGACTAAAGTCTCGCTCTGTTTCTTTGCCATTCATATTCACAAGCACAACCTGGCTTCTCACCTGTTGTTTCAGGCTTTCAGATCCCGAAGGGCGGAAATACGAGAAGAGAACGAATCGGAAGGGACCGGGCGACGGTGGCCGAAGGTGGTCCTTCCCCACTGGACTGCCCCGCCCCTCCGGGAGCAGTGAGCCTGCGCAGTGCGCTGGTCTCCACGGCAGGGCCTCGGAGCCAAGACGAGGTTGAGTAGACTCGTTTTGAATTTTCTCCCCTCTGCTCCGGCGGACTTCCCTCCTCGCCTCGTGGGGCTCTCGGCGGCGATTGGGCTGGGGGAGCTGGAGGTTTGGCAGAGCTGCCTGTGCCGACATGCGGGACTCTCCCTCCCAACCCCCCTTTTCTCCCTCCCGCCTCTTCCCGTCACCTCCTGACCCGCGGGGGCCGGGAGCCGTCGGGGCTGGGAGCCGCCGGCCGCCCCCGGCCTCGTCGCCGCCGGAGCGGACGGCACCTCGCCTTCCGTGGGGCCTGTTCGGGGCCCTCCATGGCCGGGCCTTTGCCCCGGCCTGCCCCGGGGTAGGGCTCACGGAAGCCGGGCTGGCCGGCTAGAGGAGGAGGCTGAGTGTGTGTTGAGGGTTGCGGAGCCCGTGAACGCGCCACCACCTCCAGGAAGAACCTGGACCCCGGGCGGCGGCGCGCCCTGGGCGGCTCCGCGGCGCCTCGTCTTTGCGGGTCCTGGCCCCCCTTCTGAGCCGTTTTGTACTTCATGTTTAGAAGAGGAGAAATCGTCCTTCCCTACCTGCCTCTTTGCTTTTGGCTTTTTGTCTCGAAGTTACTCAAAGGCCGCCTGGGTCTCAGTGGGCCCGATAATTAATATTAGAGTGCAGTGTGGTCGGTTTCCTAAAGGAGGATGGATGGAGATAATAACTAGGTCCCAAAGGCACAGTTTAAGGCGTTCGCCCAAAGAAGCTCCAAGAGGGGGAGGGTCTTCAAGAGACAGCAGTTTAGAATCAGGGTGAACTGGATCGCAAAATGTACGGGCATAATAGTTGCAGGTGCAGATGAAGATACCTAAAGCTTATCTTTTTTAAATGTTTCTTAAAGATGTACTACAATGAATTGGATGCCTACTATTTAAGACATCTTTAGAAAAATTAGAAATGATTTTAACGATTGGAAACGAAAGAAAAATCTTAACAATGCCAACGAAAGCATTACTGTTTTCACGTTACTCAACTTGTAGAATGCATGCCTAGAACCAGACTGCCTGAGAACCTCTGCTACTTAACCTCTGGGCTACGCTTTCATCAACTGAAAATTAAATGCCACATAAGAAGCTCTTCATAAATGTTATTAGCATCGTAAATAGTTATCACAAGAAACTAGAATCTTTACCAACGTGAACAAGTAAGGGAGACTAGGAGGAATGAAATGAGAAAACTTCCGTCCTCAAAGTCCCAGAAAAGTCACTTATGGCCTCTTAAATATATCATTAAATGTAAGGATTTACATTTTAACTTTAGGGCGTCTGAAACTTGAACACCTTAATTGAATCCATATTTATGGATAACATTGGTTAAAATCGCTTTTGAAAATGTATTTGAAATTCTTATTTGAATTTTTATTTGAAATTTATCAAATTAAGAAACTACAGTATCTGGGTTGGGCACCAGTGGCTCATGCCTGCAGCCCTGTCTATTCAGGAGGCTGAGATCTGAGGATCTCCGTTCAAAGCCTAGCTACGCCAAATAACCAGAAAAAAGTCAGAAGTGGAGCTGTAGCTCAAGTGGTAGAGAGCCAGTCTTGAGTGGAAAAGCTATGGGACAGTGTCCAGGCCCTCAGTTCAAGCCTCAATATTGGCACCAAGAAAGGAATATATATATAATATGCAATACCTAATAGAGTCAATATAGGTTGATCTTAATTTGAATAGAAATATAGGTAGATGCAAAGCTTCCATATAGAGTCTGCTTAAGAAGATAAGACAGATTTGCAAAGCAAGTCTTGAATTAACTAAAATACATACAATATTTTACTTGAACTTGTGTGGACCTTTAAAGAAAAATTAGTAAAGTTTTTGTTTTACTGTGTGTGTAGGTACTGAAGCTTGAAATCAGGGCCTTATTCTTGGCTCTCACTCAAGGCTGACACTACCACTTGAGCCACACCTCCAGTTCCAGTTGGTCCTTGTTGAACACCTAGTGTCATGTTTTGTGTGCGTTCAACAGTGATTTATGTGACTTGTTTGATGTAGCCTTCATTGAGTACTTAGGATAAATAATGCTTTTACTTTTGAGTGGTTGTCATAAGTTTAGTTAGACTTTCTTGAAGGGACAGTAGTGGGATTGAACTCAGCCTCAGGCTTGTTAGTATTTTATCACTGGAGCCATGCCTTTCAGTCCTCTTGCTTTTAATTTATTTTTTTACATAGAGCGTACCACTTTCCCCCAGCTTGACCTCTAGCTCTTCCTCTATCACCTTTCAAGTGGCTGGAATTACAGCATATACCACTACTTCTGGCATAAATTTTTGGTTCTTTATCATTTCCTGTGGAAAATGTATCCTCATGAGTTTACATTCTTATCTGTAGACCCACAGTATGAATAATAGATTTATGTCTAATATGTATATATATGCATGTATGCATATATACTTCTGTGTGTAATGGCATAATAAATGGAGTCCTTTTTTTTCTTCTCCCTGGCCGCCTATCCATCTCCTCTTGGTTGGAAAGATTAAAAAACAGGGCTTTGTTCATGTTAGTCGAACTCTCAAGCACTCTTCCTTTAAACTTCCCTACCCCTCCATTTTTAAGATAATATATAATACAAGCTGGTTTTGAACTCACGATGCTCCTTCCTTCTCATCCTGGAGCTGGAATTAAAGGAATTAATATACCTGGCTGGTTATGTTTTGTTTTATTTTGTTTTTATGCCTCTACTTGGTTTTGAATCTGAACCTAAAGTACGAAAATTACACTAGATCTCCCTTGTCTACAATATTACTTTCCTCAGTTTTAGTTGTATGCTGCCAATATTACATGGAAAATTCCTGAGTTTCAAATTGTATGACTTTCTGAATAGCATAATCTCTTGCTCCACCCTGCCTTGGATATGAATCATCCTTCTGTGCTGAGAGGATATCCACTATTGGTACTTACTTGTTTGCTACTTGGTGGTGCTGTTCGTTATCAGATCAGTATCACATCACTTGTGTTCCTCTAACTTCAAGAGTAGCAATGCTGGCAATGCATTTATGACAAAGAGAAGCTGTAAAGTGCTTAAATGAAAAAGTAAAAGTTCTTAATGAAAGGAAAAGGATATATACTGAAGATAATACCAGATTGTAAGATCTACGGTACAATAAGCTGTTTTGAGAGAGCTTCAGATATATAGCTTTCAATGTAGAATTTGTCACAGTAGTTCTAACTTATTACTGTTTTTGTTTGTTTGTTTGTTTTGTTTTTTGTCTGTCTTGAGGTATAAAATCTGGATGTGGGTGCTGTCCCTGGGCTCCTTTTTGCTTGAGTCTAGCACTCTACCACTTGAGCCATAGAGCCACTTCTGGCTTTTTCTGCTGATTAATTGGAGATAAGAGTCTCACAGACTTTCCTGCCTGGGATAGCTTTGAACCATGATCCTCAGATCTCAGTCTCCTGAATAGTAAGATCACAGGAGTGAGCCACCAGTGCCTGGCTATTGCTGTTGTTTTTAACATGTTATTCTGCCTTGTTGATGAATTAAGCTTTATAATTGGCTTGTATGTGTAGTAAAAAGGACAGTATATCTGTTTCTGTACTGTCGATGGTTCCAGGCATCCACTTGGGGCTTAGACTCAAGGGTAAGGTACCATTGTACTGGACAGTTTTAATTTATCCATAAGCAATAAGATCACTGTGGGTTTATATGTCATCATTGTAGAAATGAAGTAATTTGTAAAGCTTTCAAAGAGCAGAGGTGAAAAGTATGTACATACAGAATAAGAAATGGTTAGAAACCGAGATTACAGAGCAGTTTCTAGGAAGGATTTGCAGGACATTCAACATAATCAGATGAAGAAAGAAATCTATAAAGTTATGAATAAATATAATTACTGTTGAACAAACTCATAGTTGCGGTATGATCCTTTACAGACATGGCAGTGAAGAAACGTACTCACCACTTTATGTATGTAACTGTAACTCCTCTGTACATCACCTTGACAATAAAATTAAAAATTTAAAAAAAAAAGAAATGACAGTGAATTCAGCTTGGACTTTCTTTTTCTCTGTGTTTACTGTTTCTATATGTAACAGTAAAAGCAACGAAGCACTAGTTTTACAGTTCCTTTTTAATCTTCATTTAAAAAACCTTCCCCCAACCCACCTGAATCTTCATTTTTTTTTTTTTTTTTAATTTTTTGGGTCCGGTCGTGGGGCCTGAACTCTGGGCCTGGGCGCTGTCCCTCAGCTCTTCAGCTCAAGGCTAGCGCTCTACCACTTGAGCCACAGCGCCACTTCCGGCTTTTTTCTTTTTGCTTATGTGGTGCTGAGGAATCGAACCCAGGGCCTCAGGCATGCAAGGCAAGCACTCTACCACTGAGCCACCTTCCCAGCCCTTCATTTTTTTTTATAAAGGATGAAACCTCCCTTTATAACATGATATAAAACATTCTAGACAGCGATTTGTCAGAAAAAAAGTGGTTAATTATTATTAACTATCTAGATTCTGTATATATTCTTTCTTTGTGTTCCTTTTTAACTAATTCTAAAGATTCTTGCTTAAGAATACATTTGTCAGTTGTAGGATCGGGGTTTGTAGGCATAGGGATGGAAGTTTTTATTTACAAGCTTCTTGTGGTTCCAAAAGATGCCCAACAAGAAAATATGCCTAATGAGGAGGAAAATGTTACTTTCTATAAATATTTTTGTTTCTGTGGTAGTTGTAGAATTTGAGTTGTAACAACAGTCCAAATACCTAATTTTAGAGAAGGAAACTGGCACATGATGATTAAGTAACCTACCTCGATAGTCTTTTCTTCTCTTAACTGAATTGATTGTTGATTCTGTCATGTGAGACTAGAAATAGCTGGTTTGTAATAAAACTAGCACAATGAAATAGTTTTATTTATGTGTGCAAATGTAAAATGTACATTTATATACCTTTTTGTTACAGATAAAATGCAACTGTGAAGATATAGTTACAGCTTTTGTGTTAATGAAACTGCAACAATTATTATGACTCAGTACCCTGAAGATGAAGAACTGCAATGAACAAAAAGGGCATTTATGGGGGTAATAGAATGTTGAGACCTGGGATTTAAACTTCAGCCATTACTTGAAGGTAACTTTTTAACGTTTTGATACTGTCACGCTATCTAGCCCCAGCTGGCCTCAGATTCTTGAGCCTTCTCTACCTCAGCCTCATGAGTGCTGGGATTGTTGGTATATAGCACGATGTTAGTTATTGAAATCTTAATTTTATTTCTCATTAACTGAAAGTAATAGCTTGATAAAAGGTAACTTGTCTACTACATATTAGTTTAAAAGTAAAATTATTTTTGTATATAGGTTCTTTGTTCTATTTATTGTTACCAGTGGAGAAGAACATTTTATACCTTGATGATATACTAATATTTTTATTCTTAACAACTTTATAGCATGTACTGACATTAAGGATAGATGGGGAAAATTGGGTATTTTAAGTATTTTGCAATTCTGAGGATTGAAGAAAGTAATGCAAATTGATAAAAGAAAAGAGGGATGAAGGAATAATACTTTTGCTACAAATTGTAGAAACTACTAAATAATATTTTTGTTCTATAGCCACAAAAGGCTATATTTCTATAACAACATCAAATTTTCTTTCTGTCAGAGGTGATTTATGGTTGGCAATCTCTCTCCATCAACATCCTTCCTACCCCTTTACTGGTTTACTGCCCTAGGATGTACATCCTGCTCTCTTCACTGTAGCCTCTAGCTTGGGACTGCTGAGTCCTTTATATGTCTTTTGCAAGTACTTTGTCCCAGTCTTGGCTGATATTCTCCTTCCTTTGATTTTGCCATTACAGAGAGCAGTCATTTTTTTAATTTTAGTGAAGTCTAGCTTATCAGTTAAATCTTTCATGGAATATAACTCTAGTATTTTGTTTGAAAACTCATTGTCAAAGGGCACAGTTTTCCTCGTATGTGGAAGTTAAATCTAAAATATATATGAAAACACATACAGCACTGAATGAATAGTTATACCATCAGACTGACCAAAGTATGGTGTAAGAAAGGGTGGATTGGGGCTGGGAAGGGGGCTCAGTAGTAGAGCGCTTGTCTTGCATGCATGAGGCCCTGGGTTTGATTCCTCAGCACCACACAAACAGAAAAAAGACAGAAGTGGTGCTGTGGCTCAAGTGGTAGAGCACTAGCCTTGAGCTAAAGAGTTGAGGGACAGTGCCCAGGCCTCAGAGTTCAAGCCCCACGACAGACCAAAAACAAAAAACAACAAAAAAAAAAAACAGAAGGGGTGGATATCCATGTTTTAGCACCTTTAGTCAATTAACAGACAGTTTGACAAAGTGAATACCAGGAAGCTGAAACATGTCTTATTGGAAAAGGTAAGGGTTAAAGGGAGGGAACAGAGTAAGGAAGGTAAATTTAGTCTTATACTCAATGTACATATGTACAGTAGAACTATAGGAAACTTGAGGACAGGGGGGGTTGGGATAGATGAGAGGGGAGGGTAATAGAAGGGGCAACTCTAGCTGGGCGCCAGTGACTCACACCTGTACTCCTAGCTACTCAGGAGGCTGAGATATGAGGATCACAGTTCAAGGGCAGCCTGGGCAGGAAAGTCCTTGAGACTCTTATCTCCAATAAACCACTAGAAAACTGGAAGTGGCGCTGTGGCTCAAGCAGTAGAGTACTTGTCTTGAGTTAAAGAGTGTAAGGACAGCGCCCAAGCCCAGAGTTCAAGCCACATGATGGACAAAAAAAAAAATTAAATAAGGAGCAAAACTGATCAAGATGCATTGCACACATAAATTGACATGTTGAATTGAAACCTGTTTGTACAAGTATTTAAAGATAGTCATTGCCATATCCAAGGTCATCTGGTTTTTCTCCTATAATATCCTCTAGTAATTTTACAATTTTGTATATTACACTTATATCTTTGATCCATTTTGAGTTAATTTTTTGAAATATATATTGTCTATCAAAGTTGACTTTGCTTCATGTCAGTGTTCATTTATTCTAGCAACGTTTGTTAAAAACAAACTACACTGTCATTTCTCCATTGAATTGCATTTGTTCCTTTATCAAAGATCAATTCATAATATATCTGTGGATCTGTGTCTAGGATCCATTTTCTAGATTTTATTGATTTGCTGACCTAATTTTTTTTTTTGTCATGGGGCTTGAACTCAGAGCCTGAGCACTATCTCCGATCTTTTTCCACTCAAAACTAGCACTCTAACACTTTGAGTTACAGCACCACTTTCAGTTTCCTGGTGGTTAATTGGAGATGAGTTTCATAGACTTTCCTGCCTGCACAGGCTTTGAACTGTCATCCTCACAGCTCAGCCTCCTGAGTAGCTAGGATTACAGGCATGAGTCACTGGAACCCAGCTGGACTAATCTTTTAAAATTATCACATTGTCATTATTAAATAGTCTAGTCTTAAAGTTCAGGTTGTGTTAGTCCTCTGGCATTGCTTTTAGTATTGTGCTAGCTATTCTGGATCTTTTTTATTTTATTTTATTTTATTTTAATTTTTTAAATTTTTTTGGGTCCGGTCGTGGGACCTAAACTCTGGGCCTGGGTACTGTCCCTCAGCTCTTCAGCTCAAGGCTAGTGCTCTACCACTTGAGCCACAGCGCCACTTCCGGCTTTTTTCTTTTTGCTTATTTGGTGCTGAGGAATGAAACCCAGGGCCTCAGGCATGTAAGGCAAGCGCTCTACCACTGAGCCACCTTCCCAGCCCCTATTCTGGATCTTTTATTTACATAAACTTTAGAATGATTTTTTAATATGTATAATATAAGGTATTTTGAATGGTATTAAGTTGGATCTGTAGATGGAGTTGGGAAGAAGTGACATCTTAATATTGAGTCTACCTATACATAGACTTCTCCATTTACTTAGGTATTTGATTTCTTTTATGAAAATTGTGGAGGTTTTTCCTTGATGGCTCTTCCTGTGTAAATTTTATTAGATTTTCTACCTAAGCAGTTTTTCCTCACTCTCCTCTCTCTCCCCTTCTCTGTGTATATGTTATGTAAATAGTGTTGTAATTTATTTATTTATTTGTCTTATGGGGCTTGAACTCTGGGCCTGGGTGCTGTCCCTAAGCTCTTCAGCTCAACACAAGCCCTCTACCACTTGAGTCATAGCACTACTTCCAGTTTTCTGGTGGTTAATTGGAGATAAGAGTATCATGGACTTTCCTGCCCAGGCTGGTTTTGAACCACAGTCCTCAGATCTTAGCCCCTTGAGTAGCTAGGATTACAGGCCTGAGCCACATCGTCTGGCTGGTGACAGATTTTTATAAAGTTCAGGGAAGAAGAAATAATTTCTCCTATTCTTATCCCTATGTCTGATGGAATTTCAAAGACTATTAACAGAAGTATAAATTAGATAGCCCTCTTGGTTGGTGTTTGTTTTTTGTTTTATTTTGTTTTGTTTTGTTTTGTTTGCCAGTCCTGAGTCTTGAACTCAGGACCTGGGCACTGTCCCTCAGCCTCTTTGTGCTCAAGGCTAGTGCTCTACCACTTGAGCCACAGTGCCACTTCTGGTTTCTGAGTAGTTTATTGAAGATAAGGGTCTCACAGATTTTCCTGCGTGGCTGGCTTTGAACTGTAATCCTCAGATCTCCTGAGTAGCTAGGATTACAGATGTGAACCACTGGTGCCTGGCACCCTTTTGTTTTTTTTTTAAGAGGTTATAAATGTCCATATATAGGGAAAAACATCTGGGACTTTTTTTTTTTCATTTTCTGTAGCTATATAGATGGTGATAGAAAGGCTAGGGTATAAGTTTCTATTCAGTTAGAAGATAGACCAGCATGGATTTTAGCTTCAAGTAACCATGCTTAGGAACCATTTATTTTCAAACTGTCAGAAGGACTGACACAAGAGACTCTATTTGGAATTTGGTAACTTCCTCTCTGATCTTAAGAATTTTTTCTGGAATTGTCTACCTCTGAACAATTTTCTTTTTCTGAAGCTATGCACTGATTCCTATATTGGAGTGGGGAGTAGCAGACTGATTAGGTGGGAGTCAGTGTCAATAAGACCTCTTTTGGCCAAACATAAGCAACATAGAGAGAGGTATAGAAAAAGTGACGCTTAGGCTTGGATTACTTGGAACCCATTTTTAAGTTTAATTTTGTTCATTTTGTATTTGATGTCCTAATATCTCAGGTTGTTATTGTTGGAAGTTGTACTTCTGCAGAATGTTAATAGACAGCAGTTACAAAGTTTTATAAGGAAAATACAAAACAAAACCAACAAAAGCAAATACTTAAACTCAAATTCATTTGAGAAATAAGTCCTTATAAGAGCCCAATTGCAAATGTTTCAGAAAAGGTTTAAAACTGAGCTAGGTGTTGGTGACTCACAACTATAATCCCAGCTACTCAGAAGGCTGATACCTGAGGATCAAGGTTCAAAGCCAGCCTAAGCTTGAAAGTCTGTAAGACTCTTATCTCCATTTAGCCATTAGGTAAGCCAGAAGTGGAGCTGTGCTCTAGTGGTAGACTGCTAGCCTTGAGCAAAAAAGGTTAAAGGATAACACTCAGGCCTTGAGTTTTAAGCTCAAGGACTGGCTCAGAAAACAACAAAAAAACACCACAGCCAAGTACCTGTAATACTAGTGACTCAGGAGGCTGAGATCTATCACTGTTGGAAGTGGGCAAAAAAGTCCAAAGTCATGAAGCTCTTGTCTTTAATTAATCACACACAAAAAAGCAGGAAGTAGAGCTGTGACTCAAGAGGTAGAGAACTAACCTTGAACAAGCAAAGCTGAGGAACAGCACCCCGGCCCTGATTTAAAGCCCTAAAGAACTGATTACAAATGATTTAGAATAAGTGTGGTTAAAATTTAGAAAAAACAGTTTAACAATTGCTAAACAGTCTAGTTATTTTATTTGTCTATAGAATTTTAGGATAAAAATTATGTGACCAAGCCGGGTGCCAGTGGCTCACACCTGCAATCCTAGCTACTCAGAAGGCTGAGATCTGAGGATTGTGGCTCAAAGCCAGCGTGGGCAAGAAAAGCTGTGATCCTCTTATCGCCAGTAAACCGCCAGAAAACCGGAAGTGGCACTGTGGCTTAAGTGGTAGAGTGCTAGCCTTGAGCTGAAGAGCTGAGGGACAGTGCCTAGGCCCAAAGTTCAAGCCCCACGACTGACAATAATTATAATAATAATAAATTAAAAAAACAAAAACTATGTTACCACTATCAAGCTTTAAAGCTTGCTATTTATACAGGCAGTCATCTTTTCTTTTTTTTTCTTTATTGAGATTAAGTGATTACATAAATTTCACAAAATTCATACTTTTGTGGGATAGTGATACTTAGTTAAAGTTACAAATACATGAGGCACATTGTCATTGTCTGTAAACCTTATAGTCTCTACAAACTTTGACACTACAGCTATTTTTTCCAAATCAGGTGATAATGTACATTTCTTTCCTTTTGCTTCGTGTAAGCTATTCCCTCTTTCTCTCTCATTCCCTCCCTCCCATTGCTGCCGTTGAGTTGCTTAGTTCACTTTCATCAATGTCCAGTGCAGTTGATGGGCCCCTCTGCTGTATTTTTTCCTGTTTCCCTCTGATTCTGTGCCTTTCTATCTTCTCTCAAATATGCACATGTATATTCAGTATATGAGGTCAAGGACGTGGAGTCATCTAGAAATGATACGACAAATTAAGAAGAGGTCCTTGCTTCCTTGCTTGCTTCCTTGCTTGCTTGCTTGCTTGCTTCCTTCCTTCCTTCCTTCTTTCCTTCCTTCCTTTCTTTTCTTTCCTTCCTTCTTTCTGTCGGTCATGAGGCTTGGATCTGGTCCTGTGTGCTGTCCTTGAGCTCTTCAGCTCAAGGCTAGCGCTCTAACACTTGAGCTGTGGGGCTACTTCTGGCTTTCTGAGTGATTTATTGGAGATAAGAGTCTCATGGACTTTTGTGCCCGGGCTGGCTTTGAACCGAGATCCTCAGATCTCAGCCTCCTGAGTAGCTAGGATTACAGGCATGAACCACTGCCCTGCTCTTTTGTGTCTTGAGTCCTGTTTACTTTGTCATATCTCCTTGCATTTGAGTTTTGACATCTACGAATCAGGGAGATCATCTTTGTCATCTTTTCAAGCCCAAGGTTATACAGATTTTCTCCTGTGTTTCCTTCTAGAAATTTTATGGTTATATTTATAGTCTCTGATCCATTTTAAGTTTCCTTTTATATGTTCCTGAGCTTTCTTGCTTAAGGCTAGTACTCTACTACTTTGAGCCACAGCTCGACTTCTGTTTTCTGGTGGTTAATTGGGAATGAGTCTCTTAGACTTTCCTGCCTGGGCAGGCTTCAAACTGTTATCCTCAGATCTCAGCCTCCTGAATAGCTAGGATTACAGGAATGAGCCACTGGCACCCAGCTTGTTTTGACTATTTTAACCTTTGCATTTCCATATAAAATTTACATTTTTTTCTTTTTTCTGTGTTGCGGATTGAAGTTAGGGCATTAACCATGCTAGGTAGACCCTTTACCACTAAGCTACATTTCCATATGAATTTTAGAATCATATTTTTGAAATAAAAAAAAAAGTCTTGCAGGGCACCGGTGGCCCACACCTATAATCCTAGCTACTCAGGAGGCTGAGGTCTGAGAATTGCTGTTTGAAGCCAGCCTAGGCAGGAAAGTCCCTGAGACACTCCAGTCAACCACTAGAAAACTGGAAGTGGCGCTGTGGCTCAAGGTAGTAGAGTGGTAGCCTTAAGTGAAAATGCTCAGGGGCAGCACTCAGGTTGAGTTTAAGCTCCATGACCATCCACCAAAAAAAAAAAAAAAAAGAAAAGAAAAGAAAAAGAAAGTTCTTCTGTATTTCTGCGGTAATCTAGGTTTTTGTTGTTGTCATTTTTTTTTTCTATTTCTGGGGCTTGCACTCAGGGCCTGGGCACTGTCCTTGAGTGTCCTTTCCTCAAGGCTAGCACTCTACCACTTGAGCCACAGGACCACTTCCGGCTTTTTCTGTTTTTTTTTTTTTTTTTTTTTTAAGGAAAAAAAACATTTTTATTATCAAATAAACATAAATCAGAATGCATCACAGGCAACCCACTAAGAGATTGAAAAGACAGAAAGGAATCCTACTCCTTTGTTCCAACAAACAGAAACAACCCAAACATGCATATTTTCTAGATAAACACTAATTAACAAAAGGACCTGAAGAATCAGGTCATTGTAACTTTATCATGGAAGTGGGGGAGACCACCTGTGTTAACAAACTGGCTTTTCCTTGGAGAGACAAAGTTCTCAGAGTTTGATGAGAACCATTTGTTTCAACTATTAGAGCACTGTGAGCTTTTCCTCTCCCATGGGAACTAGAAGATGAGGAAGATATCCCTAGATGGCTACCAAACAAAAAAGATAGCACCTAATACTTAGCTGAGACTAACAGATGCCAATTACCATGGTAAGATTTCCAAACATCTGAAGAGTCAGAGAAATGCATTTCTTAAAAGGAGGGAAAAAGATAACCGGCTTTTTCTGTTTATGTGGTACTAAGGAATTGAACCCAGGGCTTCATGCATGCTAGACAAGCACTCTAACACTAAGCCACATTCCCAGTCTGGTGTTCTTTGTTGTTATTTTTTATAATCCTCAAAAAAAACAATGGTTTTATATAAAAGGTCTTGTATTAGACAGGAATTTAAACATACACAATTCTCTTAAACTATACTTCCTTTCATTAATATACTTAATATTGAATTTTATCAAATTAAATTTTTTGCGTGTACTGGGGCTCAAACTCAAGACCTGAGTGCTGTCTATGAGCTTTATCACTCAGGGCTAGTGCTCTACCAGTTGAGCCACAGCTCCACATCCGGTTTTTTAGTGGCTAATCAAGGCAAGAGTTTCACAGACTTTCTTGTCTGGGCTGGCTTCAAACCTTGGTTCTCAAATCTCAGCTTCCTGCGCAGCTAGGGTTATAGCCTTAAGCCACTGGCACCTGGCTTATCAAATGAATTTTAACTTTAGCTTTTGAAGCTTTTGTTGCTTTAACAACTAATGTGTTAGTAATTACATTAGTGATTCTAGAGTGCACATTTCACCACATTTTTCTACTCTAAAGTTAATATATTTCATAAATAGTGTGTTCTTTATAATCTCTCTTCCCCAAACAGCTGGTGCAGCAATGTCAGTGTCTTTGCCCATAACAATAAAAGCACCAGTATCAAACCATTTTCCCCTAGTACTGGGGATTGAACCCTGAGACTTACATGTGCTAGATAAGTGCTGTACCACTGAGCTACATTTGTAGCCCATGTTTTATTTCCTGTTTTTTGCAGTACCAGAGTTTGAACTCTGGGTTACTAGACAGGTGCTCTTCTTTTAGGCTATTCTCTGGGTTACTAGCAGGTTAGACAGGTGCTCTACCTTTGAGCTACTCCTTTAATTCTTTTTATGTATTTTTTTTTTTTTTTTTGTCTGTTGAACTCGGGGCTTGAACTCTGGGCCTGGGTGCTGTCCCTCAGCTCTTCAGCTAAAGGCAGGCACTCTAGCACTTGAGCCACAGTGCCACTTCTGGTTTTCTGGTGGCTGATTGGAGATAAGAGTCTCACGGGCATTCCTGCCCAGGGTTGGCTTTAAACTGCAGTCCTCATATCTCAGCTTCCTGAGTAGCTAGGTAGGATTACAGGCATGAGCCACCAGCACTCCAGCTGTGGTGTTTTGATTTTTGTTGTTGTTTATTTTTTTCCTGGAATTTAAATTCTGGGCCTAGGTGCTGTCCATGAGTTTCTTTTGCTCAAGGTGAGTGCTCTGCCACTTGAGCCACAATGCAACTTCTGGCTTTTTTTTTTTTTTTTGAATCGTTTATTGGAGATAAGAGTCACAAAGAGTTTGCTGCCTAGGATGGCTTCGAACCATGATCCTCAGATCTCAGCCTCCTGAGTAGCTAGGAGCCACCAGTGCCCAGCTATACTGTTATTTTTGAGATAGGGCCTTTCTTTTTGCCCAGGACAAGGATCCTTATATTTTATACTTACTACCATAGCTGAGATGACAGGCATGTGCCACTATACCCAGTTTTTTTTTTTGTTAAGATGGAATCTCACAAATTCTTTTTCTTTGGAACCGTGATCTCAGTTTCTCACAAAGGTTGGATGATAGAAATGTGATAATATTCCAGGCTACCAGTTGAGAAAGGGGTCTTATAAACTTTTTCTTGGGCTGGCCTCAAATTGTAATCTTCCTAATCTCAGCCTCAAGCAACTAGAAATAAGGGTGAGCCTCTGTGTCTAACTGAATAAGGAGAATTTCATTGTTGCAGCCTTTGATTTTTAAAGACAGAATCTTGTTACATAGCTTGAACTTGCTTTGAAGCTCAGGCTAGCCTCAAACTTGGATCCTCCTATGTATTCTTCCTTAGTGCTGGGATTATTGATATGAACTACAACACCTGGTGCTCTAAATTTGGAAAGTAAATGTTTCCACTTAGAGACATTGGGGGAACACTCTTTTATCCATTGAAATCTAATGGCCATGGGAAAGAGTTTTGGATGGAAGAGGGCAGATTTCAGCCATATTTTACAACACATCTATACCTCTGCAAATTAGAATTTTTCAATATAGTTGCATAAACCATTGTAAGATCCTAGATTTTATGTAAATATTACACCTGTTGCCACCTATGTTTTTTTTTTCTTTTAGAGAGAGAGATAAAATGGACATTAGTAGCTGAGTAAAAGTGATTCTAAGAAATCACTTAAAATGAAGTGATAAGTTAATAGATGTATTTGGTTTTTTTTATATGTGTATAAGAGTTTCATACAATAAAACTTTTTTAAACTTAAGAGTCTTTCAAAAAGTATGAAATAAAACTCCAAATAATAAGAAAGCAAATATCATTGTTCCTCATTGTTTTTCTTTCTTAGTTGCACATAATATAATAGTGCATTTTAGTTTTTATGCAACATAGCACTTTTTACTATACAGTGCTAGATTTTGTTCACTAAGATTGTATTTAGAGTTTTTTGATTTATATGTTATTGACAGTTTCAAGACAGATTTTGTTTCTATTCAGGTATGGTGAAACCAACAGATGCGGAGAAGATTGCCATTGAAAAAATAGTTTTTTACTCACAATTCTCAAGAAGAAGGGTCATGTTATATACCACAAAGACTCACACAAAACAACACCAAGGTTGGTAGTAGATAGAGAGGGGAAAGAAACTTCATTGTGGGTTTTAAGAGAAAGAATGGATAATACTTCATAAGTAGGTTTAGGAATGATTAGTCTGAACAATTTATTTGGTCTTTGGGTATACTGACTGGTTCCTGGCCCTAGGATTATAGTTCTGGAGAAAGAGTGTTCCAGAGGATGATAGTCTAATAAAGAAGGTAGTTGAGTGAGCAGCCTGGTATTTGAATTTGTTTTAGAAAAGGAGTTATTTCACAAGAATGCTATCTCTAGAATTGGTTAATCCAGTTCCTTCCCTGGTCAGCAAGGCTGAAGGTATCAGAGGATCAAATAAAAAAAAAAAAAAAAAAAAAAACTAGAAAAACACAGTTAATATAGTGAAGTTAGCTGTAGGTTTTCTTTCTTACTCTATCAATTTTGTGTCTAGATAAGTTATTCTCATACCATCAGTTGAGATAACTCCTCTTTATACCATAAAAGCATATGTAGTGTTGTAAATATTTGTAGTGTCTTCACTTGTTTTGTTTTTTTTTCTTTTTTGGGGAAGTCCGGTCGTGGGGCCTGAACTCTGGGCTTGGGCACTGTCCCTCAGCTCTTCAGCTCAAGGCTAGCACTCTACCACTTGAGCCACAGCGCCACTTCCGGCTTTTTTCTTTTTGCTTATGTGGTGCTGAGGAATCGAACCCAGGGCCTGATGCATGCAAGGCAAGCGCTCTACCACTGAGCCACCTTCCCAGCCCTTCACTTGTTATTTTTTGTGGTAGATTTTATTCAACTTATGTATGTCTGTATATGCCTATTCAGGCAGTATGACTTAGTTTTTTAGAGAATAGTTTGTTTGTTTATTTGTTGGTCATGGAGCTTGAACTCAGGGCCTGAGCATTGTCCCTGAGTTCTTCAGTTCAAGGCGACTGTTCTACCACTTGAGACACAGCACCACTTCCAGTTTTCTGGTGGTTTATTGGAGATAAGAGTCTCATGGACTTTCCTGCCTGGGCTGGCTTTGAATTGCAGTCCTCAGATTTCAGTCTCCTGAGTATCTAGGATTACAGGTGTGAGTCACCAGCGTCCAGTTTAGAGAATAGTTTGTAGAACTTTGTTCATGATAACCTTGTTATATCTACTTTTGTAGTTAGTCCCTTTTATTCCTCAAGTACTTATTTGTGCTCTTCTTTTCACAATCTTGCACAAGTGTTACTGCTATATCTACATGCAGACATTTCCACTACCCTGAAATTTGACATTCCCTAACTGCTTTTTCTATGTATGGATTTACTAATTTTAAATATTTTATATAAATTGAATGATATGTGGCCTTTGTGTCTAGCTCCTATCACTTAGCATGTTTTTGAGTCTCATCCATGTTGTTGCATGTATCAATAATTTATTTCTTTTGATAGCTAAATAATATTCCATTGTATGGATAACAAATCAATTCATTTATTTATTTATTTTTCAGCACTGGAGATTGAACCCTCTACTGCAAGTCCTCTACTACTAGGTACCCCCAGCTCTGTTCTCATGATTAATGTAGCTTTTTTTTTTTTTTTTTCCCGCTAGTCCTGGGGCTTAAACTCAGGGCTTGGGCACTGTTCCTGAGATTCTTTTACTCAAGGGTAACTCTACCACTTGAGCCACAGTGCCACTTCTGTCTTTTTCTATTTTTGTGGTATTGAGGAATCAAACCCAGGGCTACATGCATGCTAGGCAAAGCACTCTATCACTAAGTCACATTTCCAGGATTGTAGTTTTATTGTAAGTTTTGAAATATGGAAGTATGAGTTCTCTACCTCTTTTGGATTATTTGATTATTCTGAGTTTGTTGGAATTCCATATGAATTTTAGGATTGGCTTTTTTTATTATACAGAAGGCCATGGGATTATGATAGGGATGGCATTTGATACATATCTTAATTTTAGTAGTGTCATTACCATAAAACTGTCTTATAGTATCTGAGCACAGTATATTTTCCCATTTATTTCAGTTGTCCTTTTTTTTGCGGGGGGGGGGGGGGGGGGGGGATGTTGGTTATAAGGCTTGAACTCAAGTGCTTAGGCGTTGTCCCTGAACTCTTGTTCAAGGCTAGCACTCTGCCACTTTGAGCCACAGCACAACTTTCAGTTCTCTAGTGGTTAATTGGAGATAACAATCTCACAGACTTTCCTGCCCCGGCTGGTTTTGAACTGAGATCCTCAGATTTTAGCCACCTGAGTAACTAGGATTACAGATGTGAGCCACCACTACCCAGCTGTTAAGTCTTTTTACTTTATAGAAGTATACAAGTATTTTACTTCCATGTTGAAATTTATTTCTAAGTATTTTAGTCTTGCTAATGATTTCTATTAGCTTTTACTCTTTTTGATGGGGGGAGTGTGCATGGAAATTGGTTGGTAATCTTTGATTTTGTTAAATCCTGTCTCAGAGCCCAACCATCAAATAAATTTTTTGGTTTTAGGTCAGCTTCATTTTCTACAGTAACTAATCTGCCATATTGCCATTAGTAGAAGTTTTTTTAATTTTATTTATTTGTATTTATTTTTATTTTTCTCTTAGGAAAATTTTTTACTCTCAAATGTTATATATGTATGTAGATAAATATAATATAGATAAATGTATAAATGTATAGCATAGATGTATAGCATATACAACATATAACATAGATACGTTATATCGTCTCTCTGTCGTTTGTCTATCTATCTAAATTCAACAAAAAGACCAGAGTTACAAAACAAAATTGCCCTAAAAGTTAAATAACTACAGATTACTGGGCCCAAGTCATTCAGAGATATATATCTTTTTTCCCCCCAGCTTTTCAAGTGAAATATTAAGTGTTAGAAATATACATTAATCATATGAATTGTATGTAATAGTTCCTCCTTATCCTCAGCTTTACATTTTGTGGTTTCAGTTACCTATGGTCAACCATAGTCTGAAATATGAAAGAAAAAAACTCAAGAAATAATTTGAGTCATAGATAATTTTATGAAAAAGTATTGTCATAATTCTATTTTTGTTGTTGTTGTTGTTTGGTGATGGGGCTTGAACTCAGGACCTGGGCACTGTCCCTGAGCTTTTTTGCTCAAGGCTAGTGCTCTACCACTTTGAACCACAGCATTACTTCCAGTTTTTTGGTAATTAATTGGAGATGAGAGTCTCATGGACTTTCCTGCCTGGACAGCCTTTGAACTGTAATCCTGAGATCTCATTCTCCTGAATAGCTAGGATTAACAGGCATGAGCCACTGGTGCCTGGCTCTTAATTCTATTTTATTATTATTATTTTTTTTTTTTTGGGTCTGGTCGTGGGCCTGAACTCTGGGCCTGGGCACTGCCCTCAGCTCTGCAGCTCAAGGCTAGCGCTCTACCACTTGAGCCACAGCTCCACTTCCGGCTTTTTTCTTTTTGCTTATGTGGTGCTGAGGAATCGAACCCAGGGCCTCATGCATGCAAGGCAAGCGCTCTACCACTGAGCCATCTTCCCAGCCCTCTATTTTATTATTAATCATCATTGTTAATCTCTTATTATAGCTATCTCAATCCTTGAACTTTTTTCCTTGAACTTACTAGTCAAGAGTTCTTAATGAACAAAAACATTGTAGTTGGATGTTGGTGGTTCACACATGTCATCCTATGCTCATAAGGCTGAGATCTGAGGACTAAGGTTTGGAGCCAGCAGACAACTCCAAGAGACTCTATCTCCAGTTACCCAGCAATAAATCGGAAGCAGAGGTATGGTTCAAGTGCCTGTCTTCCGTGAAAAAGTTAAGCAAGGCCCTGAGTTCAAGCATTTCCCCCCCAATAAATCGCCTTTATTTGCATTAAATTATTGTATGGTGAGTAATTTAGAATTATTTGAATGTGTGTAATCACATAAATGCAAATTTTTAAAAATCCACTTTTTTTTTTGTCGGTTGTGGGGCTTGAACTCTGGGCTTGGGCACTGTCCCTGTGCTTTTCAGCTCAAGGCAAGCGCTGTACTGCTTGAGCCACAGCGCCACTTCTGGTTTTCAGGAAAGTCTAACAGACTTTCCTGCCCGGGCTGGCTTTGAACCACAATCCTCAGATCTCAGCCTCCTGAGTAGCTAGGATTACAGGTGTGAGCCATCGGCACCCAGAAAAATCCACATTTTTATCAGCATATATTATTAGTTGTATAAGGAGGTTTCATTGTAATATTTTATCCAAGCATACAATGTTCCCTGATTAAATTTGCCTCTAATACCACTCCTCATCCTCTTTCCCCACTTCTTAAAACAGTTTCAACAGGTTGTATTATATTTTGACCATATTAACCCTCCTTTACCCTCTCCATTTGTTTTCCTCTTTCCCACTGGTAAAAACCTCCAATAAACCCTATTTTAGATTCCTGTAATTCATTACTTTAGTGTATATTATATGAAGAAATTTTATTGTGGTATTTCACATATGCATATATTATACTGTAATCAGATGAAGTCCCTCTATTACTCTGTCCTCATTCCCCCTATGCCATCTTCATACATAGCCACAGATATTTTTGATATTATTCAACCCCCGTAATTCTCCTTCCTTCTCCCTCAACCTTTTCACTCCCTTAAGCAAGTCCACAGTTATGAATATGTTTGGTATGCATGTGTTTGTCTAGTGTATACATATATACTTTGTCCTTCTGAACCAGGCTTACTTCACTTAACATGATGATCTTCACTTCTACCTATTTTCCTGAAAATGACATTATTTGTTCTTTATGGCTGAATAAAACTCCACTGTGTATGTATGTATATATACCCATGGTGTATACATTATATCTATTTTCCTGAAAATGACATGATTTTGTTCTTTATGACTGAATAAAACTCCAATATGTATGTATACATACACATGGTATATACATTATATGTACATAACACATACCCATTTATCATCTTTAGAGCATCTAGATTGCTTCCATAACTGGCTATTTTGAATAGTGCTTTATTAATTTAATAATAAATGGGTTTATAGGTGTCTCTTTTATATCTTGACATATAGTTCTTCTGATATATGCCCAAGAATGGATCATATGGTAGTTCTATTCTGTTTTTAATTTTGTTTTTCATTTCTTTTTGTGTGTATATGTGTGTATGTTGGTCCTGCGGCTTGAATTCAGGGTCTGAGCTCTTATGCTCCAGTCTAGCACCCTACCACTTGAGCCACAGCTCCACTTTAGGCTCTTTAGTGGTTAATTGAAGGTAAGCATCTCAAGGACTTTCCTGCCTGGGCTGGCTTCAAACCTGGATCTTCAAATCACAGCCTCCTGAGCAGCTAGAATTACAGGCATAAGCCAACAGTGTCTGGCTTGTTTTTAGTTGTTTTTTTAGTAACCTCATATGTTTTCCATAGTTATTTTACTAACATTTCTATCAGTAGTATTTAAAGATATCTACCCTCTTTCCTTGTCCCACAGGCATCCTTACCAGCATTTGTTGTGTATGTTCTTGATGCTAACCATTATAACTGGAATGAGATGAATGAAATCTTATCTTTTGATTTTCATTTCCTTTTGTCCAGGGATGCAAGCCTTTATTCACATATTTATTGGCCTCACAGAAGCAATTTTAATGAGCTAATATAGGGATGTATGATAGAATGAGACAGCTACACAATCCTAATCTTTTATCTGCTTTGAATGTACTTTGCAACATTAATAAAAATATTAATTTTCTTATCTTTTCATGTCATAAGTTTGATTAGTAAATTAAGTTTAATTAGTAGATAATTTTACCATAAGTTGTTTAAGGTTCTATAGTAGAGAAGATAAATTATTCGTTTAGGAAAACATTCAGTAAAAATGTTACATGCTTTAGTTGATCAGATATTTAAACTCTTTCAGTCATTAGCTAATAGGAGAAAATGGAATTGTGTATGAAGCCAGCATGGAGCAGTGTAATAGTTCATTAAGAGTCAGAGGTAATGATGGTGAAGAGTCAAAAACAGAAACTCAGGAATTTGAGGGATTCAGATGGGAACATTTTCCATTCTCAGCCAAAACAGCATACATTTAACCAATTTTCATATTTGAAAACTAGTTATTCAATGATTCAAGAATTTTGATAATGTTGGGTGTGGTGGCACATGCCTGTTTTCTCTGCACTCTCCAGCCTGAGGCAGGAGGATCGTGAGTTCAAGGCCAGACTGTCTCAAAAATTAAAAGAATTTTAGGTGAGGTGCCAATGGCTCACGCCTGTAATACAAACTACTTAGGGACCTGGAAAGTAATACTTATATGCATTAAAATTTATATGCAAAGAAAATCTATGTTGAAATGTACTTCATCATTTCAGGATGTACTCTGTTATACAACTTTATCTTAATAAAATTGAGATGATAAAATATGAAATAAATAGTTTCAGCCTGGCACTGGTGGCTTGGACATGGAATCCTTGCTGCTTGGAAAACTGTGAATTGGAAGATCACAGTTCAAGGCTGGCCCAGGCAATAAAGTTCTCAGGATTCCCACTCAACTCATATCTGGACAGCAATCATCAGTCATCCCAAACTGGGAGGCTGAGATTAAGATTATGGGGCCAGGCCAGCCTAGGCATAAAAGTCTATAAGACTCATCTCTAGAAAAAGCTGAATGTAGATGTGTGTCTATAATCCAAGCTACCATGGGAAGCATAAATTTAAGCCTATTGTGTCTTTAGATTCATGCCAGAAAGGAAGCAAGACCCTATCTTAAAAAAATAACCAGTGAAAAACAAGAGCCAGAGGTATGGCTCAGCAGTATATCAGCTTGACAAGTTTCAGGCACTGAATTCAGTCCTCAGTACTGCTCCTACCTCCACATCAATAATTTCACCTAACAAATGCTTTGAATAGGCTGGTATGTAGCTTAGTGGTAAAGTGTTTGTCTGCCATGCACAAAGTCCTGGGTTCAAATGCTAGCATGGAAAAAAAATTCATATACTTTGTATGAATAGATGACTCTTCCAGAAGTAAAATGAGCAATTAACTAGAAAATAAATATGTCCCTGTTTTATTATATATAGCCTTTTTAAAAAATAGTGACTGTATATTATAAAGAGACTGAGTGATTTTTTTTTTTCTTTTCCAAAAGCGTCTAACCTGTATGGAATCTGAGGCTTCTTCCTTTGAACAAAATGATTCTCCTACAGTTGTGCCTATTACTACTCCTGAAGCAAATGATTCACTCATATCACAGAATATACCAAGGCCCCTGACTCAGACAATTGCTCAGACTGCTGAGCAATTCCATCTAGTGGACCAAAATGGACAACCTATTCAATATGAACTTCAATCACTGGAAGATTCTAATACACAAATGGTGGGCATATTTTTATAAATGACCCTTATACTACTTAGCAAAACGTGTCAGTCTTACTAGATGAACTTTCTCTCTTGACACTATTGACCTATATTGTGTTGGCAGTGCTGTTCATTTTTATATAATGATTTAAGACTATTTCCTTTTAGGATTACAAATAGTAATCCTAGTAATCCTTCTTAGCCACTTATGTCTAAGCACACTGGTGCTTTGAAATAAGTTGGAAACGTAATAAAATTTGTAACTAGTGCTGAAGTGCCAATGTTTACATGTAACTTACATATTTTAATATATATTTGGTTATATTCTTAATATATATATATTTGTTTCAACTTAAGGTTATTTATCAGCTATATGCTAGTAATGTCTATTAAAAAGAAAACATGGTGATAACATGGACATACTGGGAATTAAGTAAACCTTTTGTGATTTTTTTGGGGGGGGGGCCTTGAACTTAGGGCCTGGGCACTGTCCCTGAGCTTTTTCTCTCAAGGCTAGCACTAACTTTGAGCCATAGCTCTATTTCTGCTTTTTCCGGTGATTAATTGAAGATAAGAGTCTCGCAACTTTTCTGTCTCGAGTGGCTTTGAACAGTGATCTTCAGACCTCAGCTTCCTGATTAGCTAGGATTATAGGTGTGAGCCACCAGCACCCAGGCCCCTTCCATGATCTTAATAGGTAGATAAAGATGCATCTCCTGTGAAACAGAAAAGAATGCAAATTTAAACTGTTAGCTAAGAGTATTTTCAGGCCAGTTTGTCATGCAGTGACCTTGTCTCAAAAACAAAATAAAGTCAATATTAACTCTTGCTTCTCAGATCCAGAAGGTTTTTTGTGTTTTAGTTTTGCCTTATTATTTTTGGTTAAGTAATATTGAATATTAGGAGGCATTGCAGAGAAGTGGCTAAGAGAAGTCAGATTGCTTGATTAATTTTAACTCAGTATTAAATAATTCTGTGTAACCTTGCGTGAATTTTATAGGCTCTACAACAGTTTCCTTATTTATAAAATTCATATCCTTCATATATATGTGGTGAGGATTAAATCAGGTAAGGAATACATCCCAAGTCTTGCTGCAGTTACTTTCATCAGAATTGACCATTGTTTCTTTGTGCTGAAGAGGTAAGATGGCAAGATTTTCTTTTTTTGCCAGTCCTGGGACTTGAACTCTGGGTCTGGGCACTTGTCCCTGAGCTCCTTTTGTGCAAGACTAGCACTCTCCAACTTGAGCACAGCTCTTCTGTTTTTTTTCTTCTGTGATTAATTGGAGATAAGATCCTCAAGGGCTTCCTCCTTGGGCTGGCTTTGAACTGTGATTCTCAGATCTTGGACTCCTGAGTAGCTAGGATTACAGGCATGAGCCTCCAGTGCCCAGCTATGGCAAGATATTTTTATCTTAAGAAACTTGAAAAACATTAGGTGAAGGAAAAAAATTCCCACTTTTACTTTTAGTGGTAATAACCTTGTGTTATTTCTGTTTGATTAAATTCTATTTCAACATTTTCTTTGTTTATTTTTTCCTTTACTTTTTTTCAAATTTAAATTCTTATTTTTAAATGACCCTCTTAAAAGTTGGAATGCATTCTATCAAGCATCAGTAATCAGTTCATGTTTTACATACCAAGAAGCAAGTCTAGTAATACTGGTTTGAATGATAAGAGTTACTTCTTACTGGAAAGACAGCAGACTTTAAGCAGAATAATAAGAAAACTGAGTCAATAGGACATCACTATATTGGCAATAGTTTATAAAATATAGAAAAAACTTATTTGCAACAACTGTATTAATTATATTTTCAAATGATAAACCTAAATTTTTTTAATCTTCAAGTGCCTTTTAAGTTGATATTTCCTAAATGTAAGATACTAGATTCAGTTTTCAAGCTGAAAAAGATTATAATAAGTTTACTATTTTCCCTTTGTTTTCAGACTCTCGGGACACCCTAGTATTCTTTAGGGACAAAAGCATATAATACAGATAATTAACGATTTTATTTAATTAGATATCTAATGTGGTGGTGGTGGTAGTGGTGGTGGTGGTGGTGTGTGTGTGTGTGTGTGTGTGTGTTTTACTGGGGACCTAACTCAGGGCCCTGTACATACCAGGGAAAGTACTGTTCAACTAAACTACATCCCCAGCTCTATAAGTTACCTTTTTAAAAAAAAACAAAAAACACAACCCTGGTCCTGGGGCTTGAACTCAGGGCCTGGGTACTGTCCCTGAGCCTCTTTATGTTCAAGGCTAGCACTCTACCACTTGAGCCACAGTGCCACTTCCATCCTTTTCTGAGTGATTTATTGGAGATAAGAGATTCAGGGACTTTTCTGCCCAGGCAGAAACTGTGATACTCAGATCTCAGCCTCCTGAATAGCTAGGATTACAGGCGCGAGCCACGAGTGCCCAGCTACAAGTTACTTTTTTTTTTTTTTGTCGGTCGTGGGTCTTGAACTCTGGGCTTAGGCGTTGTCCCTGTGTTCTTCAGCTCAAGGTGAGCACACTACCGCTTAAGCCACAGCGCCACTTCCAGTTTTCTAGTGGTTTGTTAGAGATAAAAGTCTCATGGAGGGCTGGGAAGGTGGCTCAGTGGTAAAGTGCTTGCCTTGCATGCTCAAGGCCCTGGGTTCGATTCCTCAGCACCACATAAGCAAAAAGAAAAAAGCCGGAAGTGGCGCTGTGGCTCAAGTGGTAGAATGCTAGCCTTGAACTGAAGAGCTGAGGGACAGCGCCCAGGCCCAGAGTTCAGGCCCCACGACCGGACCCAAAAAAAAAAGTCTCATGGACTTTCTGCCTGGGCTGGCTTTGAACCGCGATCCTCAGATCTCAGCTTCCTGAGTAGCTAGGATTACAGTGTGAGCCACAGTGCCCAGCACAAGTTACCATTTTTAAACTAATGAAAATGATGAAAAATATGGGACAAATTATTGCCCTACAAATAGGTCAGATATGTGGACAATAGACGGTATACAAAATGTAATTAAGTTCAAGCACAGCCTTTTTAAGCTTCATGTATGGACTATAATGATTAAGACTACAGGTGCTTAAAGTCAGAGGCTATGGAGTCAAATTGCCTGTTTTGAATCCTAGCTTCATCATTTATAAGTTGTAAGACTTTACAAAAGATTGTAAAGTGCCTCAATGTTTTGTCTATAAATTGGGGGAAATAATAATATGCATCATAAAGATAGATGTGAGTTTAAAATTTTAATTCATAATTCTGTTAAACCAGAATGACATATGCATTTGTTTTTTTTTTTTAATCCATTCAAGATGATTGTTGCCAGCCCATCAGAAAATGGACAGGTGCTTCGTGTAATTCCATCTATTCAAACAGGAATGACCCATGTGATTATACCTCAAGAGCAGCTTGTTGATGTGAATAGTCCTCGGGGTGAGTCATAGTAGGATATAGAAGATTTAAGACTATTTTACAGAATAAAGTGATATTCTAGGTAAATCACTTTATAAAAATCAATGGTAAAATTGATGTCCTTAGGTAAGATTGTGAACTGAATAATTCAAAAAAGTTTCTTAGCCCAAATGAATTTAAAGTTCATTTTTCAACTCCTGTCTAGGTTAGCTGTCAATTTCATTTTGGAATTCTATGAAGCTGGTTGACCCCTGCTTCCTCCCAAATGACCAGTGAGCATAAAATAAATTCTTCTTAATTACAATAATAGTAATAACAAAAATAATAACAAGAATAAAGTGCTTAGCTACAAGACAAGTTTTTTACATTTGCATTTTATTGATATTTTTGCTAGACGTATGATTCATTACTTTTTTTCAGTGATCACTTTTATCCTTTTATTCTTTTTCTCTTATCTTTGGTCCTTTAAATTCAGAAAGGAGAATCATGCTTGCTTGCTTTTCACTAGCTTTCTTTTCTTTAGCTACTTGATAATATCCATTAGTTCTCTTACTTTTGCTTCCCTTTTTATGTAATTAAATCTCCTTCCTAACATTGTAGGTATTCTGTTTTGCTGCTTTTTCATAGGCAATAGTTTAGGTAACATTTATCTTTATGCTTTATTGTTTTTGTTAATAAAGTTAAGAAAAATAGTAAAACATTGTAAGCAATACACAGTAAATAGCAAATAGTAAAATATTTGTAAACAAAAAAAATTAATTTTCTATTATATCTTCAAACTCTTTAATATAACAGTTATTTCTACCACTTTTTCTATCCTAGCTGTTCAAAAAGTTCCAGAAGTTAAGTTCCAAAAAGTTAATTACAGTCAATGTTACAATTTAGAAGTAAACAAGTTTATTGATGATAAACTCAATAAAACATTTTAAATTTTATTGTCTTTAATTTCAGAGTAGTTCTTTTTCTAGTATATATAAGCTCTAGATAGGTACATTATAATGGTGTTATTTAAGATTCTGATGTTGCTTGGTTCTTGTTCTTCTTGTTAAGATGTCTCTGAAGAGAAACCCAGTGATAACTTACCAACTGTAGATGATCTTGCAGACAATACCAGTAGTTACATTCTTCATCCACAAGCATCCCTCACATTGCCCAAAAAGTCAGTGACCAGGTGAGTTCATGAGAAAGAGGAGTTCATCTTTTGCACCACCATGGAAATCTTTTCTAAAATAGTATAGCTAGCTGATTAAAGAGTTGAGATTAAAAAAGCATGAAACACCATCAGCAGAGCTGTATACTGGTAGCTCATGCCTGTAGTCCTCGCTTCTGAGGAAGCTGAGGTCTGAGGATCAAGGTTCAAAGCCAGCTTTGTCAAGAAAATCCTTGAAGGGGCTGGTAAAGTGGCTCAGTGGCAGAGTTCTTGCCTTGCATGCATGAGGCTCTGGGTTCCGTTCCTCAGCACCACATAAGCAGAAAAAGCCGGAAGTGGGGCTGAGGCTCAAGTGGTAGAGCGCTGGTCTGCAACTGAAGAGCTTGGGGACAGTGCCCAGGCCCCACAATGTTCAGGCCCCACAATGGACAAAAAAAAAAGAAAAAGAAAAAAAGAAAATCCTTAAGACTTTTATCTCCAATTAACTACCAAAAACTGAGAAATGGAGTTCTGGCTCAGGTGGTAGACGTTAGTAAAAAAAAAGTTCAGAGCAGCACCCAAGTCCCAGGACAGACACACATACACACTCTCATCAAACATATATTTATTTTAATGCTATTTGGCAATAAGGAAGCTATTCTAGTAGCTATAAACCTCAGAAGTGCTACTCTTTCTCAGTGAATTGTAACATCTTTTAAAACATACTTAAGTATCTAACTGTATTGTTACAATGAAGATGTGCCCATTCCTAAAATATTAATGGTTTTGTCTTTTCTGTATTGCACAGTTTTATTTTTACTTCAGGTACTGAGGATTGAACTCAGGTCCTTCTCTGACCATACCTTCAGCCCTGGTTTAATCTTTTTTGTGGAGGTACCAGTCTTGGAACTTGAACTCAGGGTCTGGGCACTATCCCTGAGCTTTTTTTGCTTAAGACTAGCACTCTACCACTTAAGCCATAGTGCCATTCCAGCTTTTTCTGTTTTTATGGAATTGAGGAGTCGAACTTAGGGCTTTATGCATGCTAGGCATGCACTCTACCACTATGCCAATTCCCAGCCCTATTAGCTCTTTTTTTTTTCTTCGTCAGTCATGGGGCTTGAACTCAGGGCCTTGAGCTCTGGGCCTGGGTGCTGTCCCTCAGCTCTTTAGCTCAAAGCTAGTGCTCTACCACTTGAGCCACAGTGCCACTTCCAGTTTTCTGGTGGTTATTGGAGATAAAGTCTCATGGACTTTTCTGCCCAGGCTGTCTTTGAACCACTGAGTAGCTAGGATTACAGGTGTGAGCCACTGGCATCTGGCTCCTATTAGCTCATTTTTTGATAAATGTAAAATAATTATATAATGAGAAACATACTAAGTAATTTCAGAAGATATAGAAAATATTTAAACTTGGGGAGACTACATATACCTGAAAGAACAAATTTACATCTGTGATTTAGTAGTTAATAAAATGCCACTGATTAAAGAAAATGACAAGGGGCTGGGAAGGTGCTCAGTGGTAGAGCGCTTACCTTGCATGCCTGAGGCCCTGGGTTCGATTCCCCAGCACCACATAAACAAAAAGAAAAAAAGCCGGAAGTGGCGCTGTGGGCTCAAGTGGTAGAGTGCTAGCCTTGAGCTGAAGAGCTGAGGGACAGCGCCCAGGCCCAGAGTTCAGGCCCCACGACCGGATCAAAAAAAAAAACCAAAATAAAGAAAATGACAATAAGGCACTTGTAGCTATTTTGTTGATGACAACAATCTCTGACAGTTGAGTGCTCTGTGTATGTGTATGAGTACATATATGTGTGTATAACTATATGTTTGTATATATTTCTCCCTATCCCAGAATGGTTGAAGAACCTTTGCTGGCTCCTCTTCAGCCACTTTCTTCTAATACACCTATATGGGCCTGCCGTCTTAGAAGCTGTGAGGTGAGTTAAAAGTGCTTCTCAGGAGATTGAGGTCTGAGAATTGCAGTTCAAAGACAGCCTAGGCAGAAAAGTCCATAAGACTCTGAACTTCAATTAACCACCAGAAATCTGGAAGTGGAGCTGTGGTTCAAAGTGGTAGAGTGCTAGCTTTGAGCCAAAAGAGCTCAGGGATAGTGCCTAGACCCTAAGTTCAAGCCAAAAAATAAAATACAATCCTTATCTCAATGCATTTAACTGGTTGTACCTGATCCCCAAACTCCCATTTTAAAGTACAACTAGCTCTACCTTTCCTACTTTACATTAAATTACAGCAATCCCTGACATAGTTACTTTTATTCATCCTTAAATTCATCTTTAAATATTGCTTTCATTGTCTTTTCTCACCAATAAGTTCAGTGTTATGTTTTCCACATTATTTAGCTAGTGTTCAAGGTATCCTGTCATCTGGTGTCCTATCTTGCCTTATTTTGTTTTCCTCTTTTCTCATTCATCTTTCATTCTTGTTAATTTTGTCTTTCTACTTTTCACTATTCCAGAGTCTTTCTTTAGCTCTGCCTTCACTTATTTTAATTTCTATCACCTACATGTTATTTCTTCTACTGACCATTGGGATCCTTCAAATCCCAATGTAAGTCATACATATCTTTTCTGTAAATTATCTAATGATTATTTTGGCTTTTACCTATTTGTTTCTTTAAATCCTTTTGCTATTTATTATTATTATTATTATTATTATTATTATTATTATCACTTAAGTTATTTGCTATCCTGTGTTATTCATTATTATTTACCAATCAGACCTTTTTTTTTTTTCTTATTTTGATCTTTTGAGGCAGGATTTTCTTATATATAGCCCAGCCTGGCCTAGATCTTATAATTTTCCTGCCTCAGCCTCCTGAGTGCTGAGATCCTTGACAACAAATGTTTTTTAGGGAAGGGCCATACCTCCTTTGTATATAAATCATAGTTGCTAATGAATGTTTATTAAAATGCTTTATTATCTTAAACATCTTAATTTGTGGGAAAGAAAAAATTTCCTCAATTTTAATTTTTTGGTAATTCTTTTAACAATGTCTTACAATATCACGTCATTTGTTGTTGCATCTCTTAGGACATTTTCTCTCTTTTTTTGTTCTGATAGTTGGGTTTGAATTTAGGACTATACACTTTGTAGGCAGGCACTCTTCCAGTGAGCCACCACACCAGACCCCTTTTGCTTTGGTTATTTTAGAGATAGGATGTTGCTTTATGTACAGACTGGCTTAGACTGCAGTCTTCCTCTTTGTGTTTCCCCATGTTTCTTTGATGACAGGTACACACCATAATACCTAGCCATTGGCCTATCCCGTAGCTAAGAATGAGAGAAATGTGCTTTTTCATCTAGCTGTTAATTGAGATTGAATTATATTGGCTGGTTCCAAATATCAATTCCTAGTCTCCACCTCTTGAGTTGCTAGGATTATAGGATTGAGCCCCTGAACCTGGCTCTTCTAAGTGCTTTATGTTATATATGTATACATATATATGTACACGTGTGTTATGCATGTGTATGTTAGACTTTTCGCCCATTATTTTGCTTATCATAAGATGATATTTTTCATTAGTTTCCTAAAGATACTGTTCTGATTGATAAGGCTTTTTTTTTTTTCTTTCTGTGTGCCAGTCCTGTGACTTGAACTCTGGTCCTGGACACTGTCCTTGAGCTTTTTTGCTCAAGCTTTTTAGTGCTTAACCATTTGAGCCACAACTTTACTTCTGGCTTTTTGGTGGTTAATTGAAGATAAGCATCCTGGGCAATACTTGCCTGCCCAGGTTGGCTTCAAACCTCAGGTATCAGTCCCCAGAGTAGTTGAGATTTGTAGACATGAGCCACCTGCACCTGGCTAATGAGGCTTTTCAAAGTCATTATTATAAACTTCACAATCATGTGCTAAATCACTTTATTTTATAGCTAAGCTGCATTGTGTAGCTTACCTTGAAATCATACATTTTGTAAGAAAATGTTTAAAAGTGTCTAATAAACTAATTTATTCCAGTGAAGAATTCATTCTCCTCTTCCAAACTAAATCAGTTATAGAAAACATTTTTGTTAATAGATTTTGTTTTAAAATATTATTGTTTAATTCTTTTTTCATTTCTAATTCTTAGTTAATGATTATCTGTTATAGGCCTTATTATATACTAACTCTAAATTTTTTCTTTATAACATTTGTTCATTTCCTTCTAAAAACTATAACAGTTAAGCTTTATATTCCTACTTTTATTTATAACAGATGTTCTAAAAAAGAAATATTTAGGTCAGAAGAAAATTTGAAATAAAAGCATTTTCATTAATTTTGGAGGAAATTTTAGATAAAATTCGTTGGCATCAGATTTTTCTATTTTTATCATCACCAAAATACAGCCACAATATGTATTTTGATATCTTCTTTTTTAAATGTATTCTTCCAAGATAAAGTAGTTAATCTAAGGAGAATATAGAATCACTGTGCCAACATCTTTGTTCTTATTTCCTCCAAGGAGTTAATGGAGTTAATTCTAATTATTAATGCATTTTATTGCAAGTAATTATAATAATAATTGGAAATAAAAAAATTATCATCTGTGTGTGTGTGTGTGTGTGTGTGTGTGTGTGTGTGTGTCTGTCTGTCTGTCTGTCTGTCTGTCTGTCTCCTTGTGTTTTGAAGTGCTAGATATCAAACCCAGGTCTTGCACATGCTAGGCAAGCATTCTGCCATGTGCCATATTCCCTGTTCTTTTCTTTTTGTTGTTTTTTTGAGACAGGGTGTTCTTAAATAGGTCATGCTGACCTCGGAGTCACTATTAGAGATACTTCTGCCTCTGCCTCCACCTCCTGAGCACTGTGATTATAGGTGTGTGCCACCAAACCTAACGGATTTTCTTTTTTGATATAATAAAAGCTGTTCCTTTAGTATATTTCAGTGGCTGTGTGTAGATAACATTCAATTTATTTTCATAACTTATAACTTTTGTTTTAGAAACAATTTAAGACTACCTAAATACCTATGTAAAATACGTTAACAAAGTAGGAATTAAAAATGGGGCTGAAGAAACACAGAATGGACAACTGAGTACCTGTGCTGCACCTGTAATCCTAGCTATTTATTTTCTTTTTCTTTTCTTTTTTTTTTTTTTGGTCAGCCGTGGGGCTTGAACTCTGGGCCTAAGCGCTGTCCCTCAGCTTTTCAGCTCAAGGCTAGCGCTCTACCACTTGAGCTACAGCACCACTATCCTAGCTATTCAGAAGGCTGACATCTGGAGAATAGTGGTTTGAAGGCAGCCTGTAAGAAAAGTTTGCTATGCTCTACTGCCAAATTAACTAGAAAGAGGTGGGTTGGAAGCATTGCTCAAGTGGTAGAGCTTCTGTCTAGCAAGTTAACAAGCACAACACCTGAATTCATACTCCAGTGTTAGAAAGAAAAGGAATAGAACCATTAAAAGTTAAGGTAAATACATCTTAAATATTAATGTAATATGTATATTTAAACATAAACACATTTGTCTATAATCTAAGTACCTTCATTGTGAAAAGGAGAACCCTAGGTAGTTACTAAATTCTGTTGTGCCTATTAGGTAATTGAAATTAAACTAATTTATTATTTTTTTGGGTCCGGTCGTGGGTCCTGAACTCTGGGCCTAGGTGCTGTCCCTCAGCTCTTCAGCCCAAGGCTAGCACTCTACCACTTGAGCCACAGCGCCACTTCTGGCTTTTTTCTTATGTGGTGCTGAGGAATCGATCCCAGGGCCTCGAGCATGCAAGGCAAGTACTCTACCACTGAGCCACCTTCCCAGCCCATAAATTTTCTTTTTTCTTTTTTTGGGGTCCTGTCGTGGGGCCTGAACTCTGGTCCTGGGCGCTGTCCTTCAGCTCTTCAGCTCAAGGCTAGCACTCTACCACTTTGAGCCAAAGCGCCACTTCCGGCTTTTTGCTTATGTGGTGCTGAGAAATCGAACCCAGGGCCTCATGCATGCAAGGCAAGCGCTCTACCACTGAGCCACCTTCCCAGCCCCGAAATTAAACCAATTTCTATAAGGTGAAAGCAAACAACCATTTTTTTTCTTAAGGATAGACAGGCATTTCTGTCAGGGAAGGATTTTCATAAAAAGAATATTAATATAATGAGTAAATTTTCTGCAACATTTTCATAGGAGATAACATTCACAGTCACATTTGAAATTACAGAGTTTCAAATAGACTTATGGAATCATATCAACCTCAGTTTTTAGAAGCTCCATATAAACCAATACTTTGTAGCTAGGTTTATGCTGATCTTGATTTGATCCAGGAATATAATTTTATTTTATATTTATTAGCCAATCCTGGCTAACTCAGGGCTTCTTTTGCTGAGCTTCTTTTGCTCAAACCTTGCACTCTACCACTTGAGCCACAGTACCACTTCTGGCTTTTTCTGTTTATTTGGTACTGAGGAATCGAACCTGGAGCTTCATGCATGCTACACAAGCACTCAGCCACATACCCAGCCCTAGGAATAGAATTTTAAATATCTGGAAGAAGTTACTCTATAAATTATTTCTCTCACATAAGGTTATGACATGTTGTGGTAATGAATTTGTTATTATATTCCCTCATCTATTTGATGATACTAGTTGAATTCAGAGGAGATCGATTGGTTGTATAGACCAGTGATCTAAGGAAATGAATGACATTCTCTTGTAAAAGCTGATAAGTCTTTCATCTTCGATGATAGTTTCATTCAATTTATTGCGCAATGAAGCATATTTGCTTATGATTTTATTTTTTAATTACTATTTCATGCAGAAAATTGGTGATTCATACCGTGGCTACTGTGTCAGTGAGACTGAATTAGAAAGTATCCTAACATTTCACAAGCAGCAAACACAGAGTGTTTGGGGGACCCGCCAGTCTCCAAGCCCAGCCAAGCCTGCCACCCGCCTGATGTGGAAATCCCAGTATGTCCCATATGATGGAATCCCATTTGTCAATGCAGGTACTTCTAAAAAGAATTATTTTAAAAACAGCTTTAGTTCAGTATGAAAATGTAATTTTTAGTGAGATGATCATTTTTATTTTGGTAGGTTACAACTGAATGTTAATTGATGAAAATGCCTATTTAAGAAGAAAACTTACAAGAAAGATAAAAAATTACTTTGTTATAAAATTAATTTGTAATATATTAGTGAACAAATGCTATATGTATTTTGCCTATAAATAAAAAATAAAAATATTGAAATTCCATACAGATCTATTTAATAATATGAAAGAGCAATTTTCTTATTTTAAATATGCTTATACATTATGGCTTCTCCCTTCCAATCCAAATATTCTTTTCTTTTCTCTTAATTTGTCTTATAGGACAAATGTATTCCCATTTTGTGTATGTTATAATTGTGGGGATATTTTATAGACTTTATATACAGTTGGGGTTAATATTTAGAATTCTAACGTTAAAGTTACCAAGCATCAGATATGTTGCATGCAGTCTCCCAGACACTGGGTTAGTGTTTACTATGGCATTAGAAATTCAAGCAATCCATTGAGATGTATTAGAGAGCTAGTCAGACACTAACAAACCTAAAATGAGTGGTTTATTTCCACACACGAGGGCATTAATGTAGCTGGAGTATCATCTGGACCTCTGAGGTTAGTAAGAAGTACTTAAGGCTGAGCATATAGCTTAGTAATATAGTACTTGCCCTGGATTCAATCAGTAAATGTGTGATAGTTGATAATTTTCTTACCATAGATGATCCATTTGGTAAATTTTGCAACAAAGCTTTAAATTTATGTGTTTATACATCTTTAATTAGACATACTAATGTTTTCTTTCCCTAAACTTGTAAAATTAACAGTATAGACTTTGACATTGCCAAAACCAAGGTTTTTTAAAAATCTGCCTCAAGCAAACAGATACTTGAATTAATAGGAAAAATGGTTTTTGGTTCACAGGGAGTAGAGCTGTAGTAATGGAGTGTCAGTATGGGCCAAGGAGAAAAGGTTTCCAGTTAAAAAAAATTAGTGAGCAGGAAAACAGGTCTTGTCATCTCTACAAAGCCACTTGCCCAGCCAGGTAAACTTTATATTTGTTTTTCATTATTTCTGAATAACAAATATACTATTCTATTGTTTAAACAGTACAAAATATATAAGACAATTCCAAGTTTTCTAGCTCTCTTCTTCCTTGTCTTTGTGTGTGTGTGTGTGTGTGTGTGTGTGTCTGTGTGTGTGTGCGTGCGCGTGCGTGCGTGCATGAGTGTGTATGAGCACGCGTGCATGGGCACTAGTCCTAGGGCTTGAACTCAGGGCTTTTGCTCATGGCTCTAGTGTTCTACCACTTGAACCACTGCTGTACTTCCAGATTCTGGTAGTTAATTGGAGAAGAGTGTCATAGGCTGGCTTCCAACGGCACTCTTCAGATCTCAGCCTCCTGAGTAGCTGGGATTGAAGGCATGAGTCATTGGCACCTCACTTTAACTCTTTTTCAAATAGGTTTCATTATGCCTTTCATACATGAGTATAATGTATTTAGATCTTAATTTCTTTCTTTTTTCTTTATTTCTTTATTTTGCAATTTTTTATTGTGATTAAGTGATTACATAAATTTCACAGCATTGTGAGATAGTGATACTTAGTTAGTCACAAACACATTCTAACCTTCATGGGCAAATTGTCTTTATTGTGTTCTATAAAGTTTATGAGTTCTAGAGCTTTAACAATACAGTTATTTCTTCTACTTCAAGTAATATGTACATTTCTTTCCTTTTGCTTAGTGTCAGCTGTTCCCTCTTTCCCACTCATTCCCTCCCTCTCATTGCTGCCATTGAGTTGCTTAGCTCATTTTGATCAATGTTCAGTGCAACTGATGGGTCCCACTGTTGTATGTTTTTCTCTGATTGCCTTTAGTTCTGTGTCCTCCTCCTGGTTTCCCTTCAGTATGCACATATATGCCATATATGTGATTAGCAGCATGGAGTTATTTAGTAGTGATTTGACCAGATGAGTAGGGGTCCTTTGTTTCTCAAGTCTCAAGTTGTAGGACCTTATGTTTTGGATTTAACATCCACTTATCAGGGAGATCAGGTGCCATTTGTCTCTTTGCTCTTGGCTTACCTCACTCAACATGATTCTTCTAGTTCCATCCATTTCCTTGCAAATGCCATTATTTTGTCCTTTCTAATGGCTGCATAATATTCCACAATTTTTGGATCCATTCATCTGTGGTAGGGCATCTGGGTTGTTTCCATATCCTGGCTATTGTGAACAGTGTGCTGCAATAAACATGGAGGTACATGTATCCTTGTATCCTGGTTCCTGTTGTTCAGGATAGATACCTAGGAGTGGTATTGCTGGATCATAGGGGAGGTCAATATTTAGCTTTGTGAAGACCCTCCAGACTGCTTTCCAACATGGTTGTATTTGTGTATATTCCCACCAGCAGTGCAATAGGGTTCCTCTTTCTCTGCATCCCCTTCGGCATTTGTCGTTGACTGAAGTTAGTATGTGGGCCATTCTGACTGGGGTAAGGTGTATCTCAGGGTTGTCTTTATTTGCATTTCCTTTACAACCAGGAATGGTGAACATTTCCTCATGTGTTTCTTTGCCATTTTTATCTCTTCTTCTAAGAAGTCTCTCTTTAGTTCCCTTGCCCATATAGTAATTGGTTTGTTAGGTTTGGGAGTTCCCTGTATATACTGGATATTAACCCCTTGTCTCATATATTGCTGGTAAATTTTTTTTCCCAGTTAGTTGGCTGTCTTTCTAGTTTGGTTGCTATATCTTTAGCTGTGCAGAAACTTTTTAAGGTAGTCTCATTTATTGAGTCTTTCTCCAATTTGTTGTGACCCTGGAACTCTGTTCAGGAAGTTGAGTTGATGTTAGTGCATGGTGACAGGCTAGGATCCACTGTTAGTTTTCTGAATGTGGCTGCCCAGTTTTCCCAGCACCAATAGTTGAAGAGGATGTGCTTCTTCCACTGTATGTCTTTGGCTCCTGTCAAATATCAGCTGACCATAGGTGTGTAGCTTCATTTCCGGAACTTCTATTCTATTCCATTGGTCCTTGGTTCTGTCTTTGTGCCAGTACCAAGCTGTCTTTGTTATTATGGCTCTATATAGTAGAGCTTGAAGTCCAGCGTCAAGATCCCTCCCATGTTGTCTTTTTTTGCCTAGAATTGTTTTGGCTATTCTAAGTCTTTTGTTTTTCTATTTAAATTTTTGGGCTGTTTTCTATATTTCAGTAATGAACGTCATTGGGATTTTAATGGGAATTGCATTGAACTTGTATATCAATTTTGGCAGTATGACCATTTTCACTATATGCCTATCAAGAATATGGAAGGTCTTTCCATTTCCTGGTGTCCTCTTATAATTTTTCTATAAGTTTTTATAGTTTTCATTAAATAGTTCTTTTTACACCTTTGGTTAGGTTAATTCCTAAATATTTTATTTTTTTGAGGTTATTGTAAATGGATTGTTTCCTTGATTTCCCTTTCTGCTTGTACATTATTGTTGTACAGAAAAGCAACTGATTTTTGTGGGTTGATTTTGTATCCTGCTACTTTGCCAAAGTAGTTTATAAGTTCTAAGAGTTTGGTGGTGGAGTTTTTGGGATCATGGAGATATAGTGTAATGTCATCTGCAAAAAGGGATAGTTTAACTTCTTCCTTCCCTATGTGGATCCCTTTAATGTCTTTTTCTTGCCGTATTGCTCTGGCAAGAATTCCAGAAGTATATTGAAGAGGAGTGGTTAGAGTGGGCATCCTTTCCCCATTAAGTATAATATTGGCTATTGGTCTGTTATATGTGGCTTTTATTGTTTTAAGGAATGTTCCTTCTACTGCTATTTCCTCCAGAGCTTTTAACGTGTATGAATGTTGTATCTGTTTTTTGGGTCCGGTTGTGCGGCCTGAACTCTGGGCCTGGGCACTGTCCCTCAGCTCTTCAGCTCAAGGCTAGCACTCTACCACTTGAACCACAGCACTACTTCCGGCTATTTTCTTTTTGCTTATGTGGTGCTGAGGAATCTATCCCAGGGCCTCAGGCATGCAAGGCAAGCACCCTACCACTGAGCCACCTTCCCAGTCTGAATCTTGTATCTTATCAAAAGCCTTTTCTGTATCAATGGAGATAATCATGTGGTTCTTGACCTTGGATCTGTTGACATGATGGATTACGTTTATTGACTTAATGTATGTTAAACTATCCCTGCATCTCTGGGATGAAGCCTACTTGGCTTAATGTATGATTTTTTTTGGGGGGGAGGGTCCGGTCGTGGGGCCTGAACTCTGGGCCTGGGCACTGTCCCTCAGCTCTTCAGCTCAAGGCTAGTGCTCTACCACTTGAGCCACAGCACCACTTCCGGCTTTTTTCTTTTTGCTTATGTGGTGCTGAGGAATCCAACCCAGGGCCTCATGCATGCAAGGCAAGCGCTCTACCACTGAGCCACCTTCCCAGCCCAATGTATGATTTTTTTTGATATGTTTCTGAATTATGTTGGCTAGAATTTTGTTAAGGATCTTTGCATCTGTGTTCATCAAAGAGATTGGTCTGTAGTTCTCTTTTTTTTGTTGGGTCTTTGCCTGGTTTGGGGATGAGTGTGATATTGGCATTGTAGAATGAGTTTGGGATAGCTCCCTCTGTTTCTATTTCTTGAAGAGTCTGAGGAGTATGGATATTAGTTTCTCTTTAAAGGTCTTATAGAATTCCCTAGTGAATCCATCTGGTCCTGGGCCTTTCCTTGTTGGAAGACTTTTGATTGCTTCCTCTATCTCATTGTAAGATATTGGCTTATTTAATTGATTTATTTCTTCTTGTGTCAGTTTGGGAAACTTTTATTTCTCTAAAAATTCATCCATATCTGCTAGGTTTTCTTTCTTTAGTGAGTATGGTTTCTGGAAATTGTTCTTTATAATTGTTTGGATGTCTTGAGTATTTGTTGTAATTTTTCCCGTGGCATCCCTGATCTTATTGATTTGGGTTTCCTCTCTTCTCTTTTCAGTTAAACTTGCCAAAGGTCATCAATTTTATTAATTTTTTCAAAAAAACCCAGCTTTTTGTTTTATTAATTTTATTTATAGTTTTATTAGTCCTTATCTCGTTGATTTCAGCTCTTAATTTGGTAATCTGGCTTCATCTAGTAATTTTAGGTTCAATTTTTTTCATGCTTTTCTAGCAGTTTTAATTGCAACATGAGGTTATTTACTAGGTCTGTCTCTATTTTCTTGATGTATTCACTGAGACCGTTAAGTTTGCCCCTCAGGACTGCTTTTGCCAGGTCCCACAGGTTTCTATGTGATATGTATTCATTTTCATTGAACTGTAGGAATTTTTTAATTTCTTCTTTAATTTCTTCTGTTACCCAGGTATTGCTCATAAGTGTGCTATTCAGTTTCCATGTATTTGAGTAATTTTTACAGCATGCTTGCTTTGTTATTTAGAACTAGCTTGATTCCACTGTGGTTGGATAGGATACAGGGGATTATGTCAGTCCCCATGTATTTGCTTAAATTCCTTGTATGAACTATGATATGGTCTATTTTGGAGAAAGTTCCATGAGCTGCTGAGAAGAATGTGTACTCTGTTGTTTTAGGATGGAAAACTAGGGAAATGTCAATTAGATCCGCTTGAAATATGGCCTCACTTAACTTGGTGGCTTCCTTGCCAATTCTCTTGTTGATTGACCTGTCGTTTGGTGAGAATGGGGTATTAAAGTCTAGTATTATCGTATTTGTATCTATTTTATTCTGTAAGTTTGAGAGTATTTGCTTCACATATTTGGGTGCATCAGTATTTGGGGAGTATAAGTTGCTAATAATGGTAATATCCTCTTCTTGGATTGTTCCCTGTATCCTGTATCCTGTAGTATCCCTGTAGTATCCTCCTTTGTCTTTTTTGGGGGTTGGTCATGGGGCTTGAACTCTGGGCCTGGGCACTGTCCCTCAGCTCTTCAGCTCAAGGTGGGCACTCTACTGCTTGAGCCACAGTGTCACTTCCAGTTTTCTAGTGGTTTATTGGAGATAAGAGTCTCAGGGACTTCCTTTTTTTTGGAGGGGGGGGGGGGTCCAGACGTGGGGCCTGAACTCTGGGCCTGGGCGCTGTCCCTCAGCAATTCAGCTCAAGGCTAGCGCTCTACCACTTGAGCCACAATGCCACTTCCAGCTTTTTTTCTTTTTGCTTATGTGGTGCTGGGGAATTGAACCCAGGGCCTCAGGCAAGCACTCTACCACTGAGCCACCTTCCCAGCCCAGCTCAGGGACTTTCTTGCCCAGGCTAGCTTTCAACTGTGATCCTCAGATCGCAGCCTCCTGAGTAACTAGTTAGGATTATAGGCATGAGCCACCTGCACTCGGCCTTCTTTGTCTTTTTTGTATTGATTTTATGAAAAGTTTAGTTAGTCAGATATCAGGATGGCAACTCCTGCTTTCTTGCTGGGAGCATTTGTCTGGTAGATCTTTCTCCAATCCTTCACTCTGAGTTTGTTTTTATTTTTATTTTTTTGGTCCGGTCGTGGGACCTGAACTCTGGGCCTGGGCGCTGTCCCTCAGCTCTTTAGCTCAAGGCTAGCACTCTACCATTGAGCCACAGCACCACTTCCGGCTTTTTTCTTTTTGCTTATGTGGTGCTGAGGAATTGAACCCAGGGCCTCTAGCATGCAAGGCAAGCGCTCTACCACTGAGCCACCTTCCCAGCCCTGAGTTTGTTTTTATGTTTAGCTGTAAGGTGGGTCTCCTGAAGGCAGACCTATCTCCTGGATGGATCTTGTTTTCTGATCCAATCTGCAGTTCTTTTTCTTTTGATTGGTGAATTGAGCCCATTAATATTTATGGCTATTATAGAGAGATGCATTGTGTTTCCTGCCAATTTCCTGTTTTCCAAAATGTTTCTTTTTTCTTTTCCTCATACTTACTAAGTTGGACTTACAGTGATATCTGTCTGATGAGGATCCCTGTTCTTGATTTCTTTCTTCAGGTTGTGTTCCCTCTCAATATTCTTTGTAATGCTGGCTTATTGTTTATGAATTCATTTAGTTTTTCTTTATTATTAAAAATTTTAGTTTCTCTATGGAATGTGAATGCTATTGCAGGGTATAGCAATCTGGGCTGGCAGTTATTGGCTCTCAGGGCTTGGATCATACTTTCCCAGGCATTTCTTGTATTCAGTGTCTATAAGGAGACATCTGTAGTGATTCTGATTTTTTTCTCATTATATAGCTCCTTCTTTGTTTTTGCTGGATGCAAGATTGTTTCTTTATTATTCACATCTATTATTTTTACTATAATGTGCCTAGAAGTATTTCTCCTGGGATCCTGCTTGTTAGGTGTTCTATTTGCTTCTGTTATGTAGGTAAGATGTTCTCTTTTAAGATGGAGGAAATTTTCATTGATAATCTTGCTAAATAAATGTTGTATTCCCTTGCTTTGATATTCCTCACCTTCATCCACTCCAATTATATGAAGGTTGAATTCTTGGCACTGTCTGCTGGCTCTTGGATTTCCGTTTGGCATAAGTTAAGTGATTTTTCCATATCTGTGAATTTTTTTTCCATTTGCTACATTTTGTCTTCTGTATCTGATATTCTATTCTCCATTTCATTCACTCTGTTAACTATGGCTTCCACTGTGGTTTGCATGGAGGAAATTGAGCCATTTATGGCTTCTATGTTAGTTCTCAGAGTATTAATCTCATCTCTTAGCAAGGTGTGTACTGAATTTTTTTTTTTGGGGGGGTCCGGTTATGGGGCCTGAACTCTTGGCCTAGTCGCTGTCCCTCAGCTCTTCAGCTCAAGGCTAGCGCTCTACCACTTGAGCCACAGTGCCACTTCCGGCTTTTTTCTTTTTGCTTATGTGGTGCTGAGGAATCGAACCCAGGGCCTTATGCATGCAAGGCGAGCGCTCTACCACTGAGCCACCTTCCCAGCCCTCATTTTAATTCTTGCGTCATTGTGTCCAGCATCTCTTGGATGTAGCATTCCTACTGCATTCCTATTCCGGCTTTGCTTCCACTGGGGCTCTCCCTTGGGTGTCCGCTGGCTTTGGGGAGTAGCTTGCTGTTTTGGGTGTTGAAAAATCTCTGATTTTTGCCTGGGGATTCAGGGATTATTAGAGATGAATCTGAAACTCTGACTGTTTTGGTATAGGTGACTGTCTTTGCTTGGTTCTTGGTTGGTTCCTGGATCAATTGATGAAGCTTGCTCTCAGCCCTGGGTTGGCCTGGAGAATCTGTACCTGGTCTCAGTTCTGTTGGGGTAGAGGCCAACCTCCAGCTGCTAGTCTGACCCACTGTAGGGCTGTCTACTGGAGATCACTGGCAGTTCCTGCCTCTAGCCAAGGACTGAGCAGCCTAGACTGCTCCTGCTTACTCCTACAGGTGCTCTTGGCAAGATCGGGTATGTTGGATGTACTCTCCCAGTTGCTGGAGTCTGCTATGAGTTCCTCCTGACTATAATCAGGTGTTGGCGGCCTGAGCTGTCCAGTCCCAGGCTTGGGATATACAGGTCAGGTTCTGGTGGGGTTTGGGCTTCTGATTCTCCTGTCCTGGACACACAGGGCTTTTGCTGTCATGGGCAAGATTCCCAGGGGGCGTGGTTCTCTGCTTTCCCCCCCTCTGCTGAGGCGTACGCTCAGCTTCTGACTTCAGTTGGGACTCAGTTGTGCAGCTCAGGCACCCGATCCCCAGGCCTGGCCCTGCCCTCTGGTCCTCTGCCTGGGGCACGCCAGTTGGACCTGTGCTGCTGGGTATCCCACCTGGGGTGCACAGCCTGGAGTACACAGTTTGGATTTCTTCCACTGCTGGCTGCTATGGCCCAAGAGTACTGTTCCCGGGTTGGGCGTTTAAGCTCCCTCCCAGGGGCACTCTTCATCAAGCCTGGCAGGGTGGATGTGCTCCACCGGCTGGTGGGGTGCTTGCACAGTTCCCAGTGTTAGTGGGACCTGTAGTCCAAGTGTTGGGGCAGGAGTCTGGGTCAAGCTCTGGGGGTGACCACTAGCACTGGTCTCCCTTGGGGAAGGGGTACACTGTCCTCCGTGGGGTACTCACCCTAGAACTAGTTGGGAACTCTCCAGCTGTGCTGTGGCAAATCCCTGTTTCTGTGATGCCTGTCGCTGGTTGCCACTGCACTCTGCGTTCAGTTGAGATGCTTGTGGTCCTGGGCTGTGTGGTGGCTGCTCTGGGTCATTGTTTCTCTCCTGCCTCTGTTGATGCTGCCTGGGTCAGCACCACGGGGCCGGTGGGGGGGGGCAGTTTGTGCTGGCTGCCGGCAGTGGAGTAGGGGAGGGGTCTTCACACCGTTCTGAGCTTCAAGGTTTCTGTCTCTGTTTGCGCTATCCAGGTCAGCACCAGCACCTTGGGAGTCTTCTCACTGGTGTTCTGTGGGTAGACCCCTGCAGTTCTGGAGTTCCTTTCCAGGGGCTGTGGGGCTGAGTGGTTTTGGTGGGATGGAGCAATGCCATCCGCCAGTGAGGGGTCTTTGTCTTTATTTCTTTTTGATTTTTTTTTTGGAGACAGGGTCTCACTATGTAGCTCAGGCTGGACTTAAACTCACAGTCTTCCTGCCTCTGCCTCTTGAGTGCTAGGATTATAGCTAAACTCTTGTTTGTTTGTTTTTTTGGGTCCGGTAATGGGTACTGAACTCTGGGAGTTGGGCGCTGTCCCTCAGCTCTTCAGCTCAAGGCTAGTGATCTACCACTTGAGCCACAGCGCCACTTCCGGCTTTTTGATTATGTGGTGCTGAGGAATTGAATCCAGGGTCTCAGGCATGCAAGGCAAGCGCTCTACCACTGAGCCACCTTCCCAGCCCTATACCTAACTCTTGATTAGTAAGTTATATCATAATGTGACGAAACAATTTCTCCTATATCTTCTATACAGGATTTACATTAAGAAGGTACAGAAGTTTCCTGAATATAGAGTATCTACAGATCCCAAAATTGACAAGAAAATAATTAGAATGGAACAGGAGAAAGCCTTCAACATGCTAAAGAAGAATTTGGTAGATGCTGGTGGCGTTCTTAGGTATGACATTTATACAATTATTTTACTTCCTAATTATCTTCCTTTATAAGAGTTCTTTTTAAAGAGAAATTCTAATTATCTTTTCTAATTATTTTATTTTATTTTATTTTATTTTTTTTTGGGTCCGGTTGTGGGGCCTGAACTCTGGGCCTGGGCGCTGTCCCTCAGCTCTTCAGCTCAAGGCTAGTGCTCTACCATTTGAGCCACAGCGCCACTTCCGGCTTTTTTCTTTTTGCTTATGTGGTGCTGAGGAATCGAACCCAGGGCCTCAGGCATGCAAGGCAAGCACTCTACCACTGAGCCAACTTCTCAGCCCCTTCTAATTATTTTATTAAGAAATGCTTTTATGCCGGGCACTGGTGGCTCACGCCTGTAATCCTAGCTACTCAGGAGGCTGAGATCTGAGGATCGTGGTTCAAAGCCAGCCCAGGCAGAAGAGACCGTGAGACTCCTATCTCCAATAAACCACCAGAAAACCGGAAGTGGCGCTGTAGCTCAACTGGTAGAGCGCTCGCCTTGAGCTGAAGAGCTGAGGGACAGCGCCCAGGCCCAGAGTTCAAGCCCCACGGCCGACCAAAAAAAAAAAAAAAAAAGAAATGCTTTTATGGCTAGAGGTGTGGTTCAATTGGTAGGGTGCCAGACAGTGAGTGAAATCATCAGATACATCAGTTCAAATCCCAGTCTTGGACCAAAGAAATGCTTTTATAAAGTAGGTATCGCAGTACTATTTAGTTGCCATTGAATAATTTATTGCATCTATCAGCCAAACATTGTAGATAATTCATCCTAGTGTTAGCATCTGCCTGAATTATACCTTACTATATACTATATACAATAGAAAATTTGGTATATTTGTGCTTTGTCCCCAAAATGAAAAATACATATTTAGCAGTGCATTTCATTTTACTTTTAGTATTTTATTTAAGATATTTAGGAACACAATTTGTTCCTAACTTTTGTTTGTATGATTTTTTTTTCCCCACCTATCTTTGACTACTATTAGCTAAAAATGAATCCTGGGCCTTAAATAAAATCCCATTTCATGTTTCATGTTTAAATAGAAACAAACATTAGCTTTCTTCCTTATTCTTTATATGCGTGCCCAGGTGAAGAATTTATTATGATATAATGAAGTTGAATAGAAGGGAAATAGTTTTGTGTAATCGTGTGTGTGCGTGAGTGGGTGTGGGTGTACATGTGTAGGTGTACGTGTGCGCGCATGTGTGCGCCAGTCCTGGGCCTGGGTGCTGTCCTTGAGCTCTTTTGCTTAAGACCACTCTACTTCTTTGAACCACAGCTCCACTTCCAGTTTTCTGGTAAATAATTGGAGATTAAGTGTCACAGCCAGATACCAGTGGCTCACACCTGTAATCCTTGCTACTCAGGAGGCTGAGATATCATGAGGATCGTGGTTCAAAGCCAGCCTGGGCAGAAAAGTCCATGAGACTGTTATCTCCAAGAAACCACCAGAAAACCAGAAGTGGTTTTGTGGCTCAAGTGGTAGAGTGCTCACCTTGAGCTAAAGAGCTGAAGGACAGCGCCCAGACCCAGAATTCAAGCCTCATAACCAACAACAACAACAAAAAAAAAAGTCACAGACTTTCCTGCCTGGCTGGCTTTGAACCATGATCCTTAGATCTTAGCCTCCCCAGTAGCTAGGATTATAAGCATGAGCCACCAGCATCAAGCCTCCCTGAACTTTTTACTCAAGGCAAATTCTCTACTACTTGTGCCACAGCTCTACCTCAGTGGTTAATTGAAGATAAGTTTTTCATGGACTTCCCTGCGGGGGCTAGCTTGGAACTGCAATCCTCTGGTCTCAGTCTCCTGAGTAGCTGAGATTTCAGGCGGGAACCACCACTGCCCAGCAGCTTTGTGTAACCTTTAATAAAAAAACATTCAGATGTATGAGGAAATTGAATCAATAATTATATCCTTAAAACTTGGAAAACATTGTTTATAATTTTTAAGTAGGCTCATTTTGTTTGATATTAATCATTGTAAAAAGTTTCTATAGATGTATCAAATAGTATTCTAGGAGTAACTCTGATGAAGATGCACTGTACACATAAATTGACATGTTTAATCGAAACCCCTTTTTACAACTACTTGAAGAAAACATATATATATATACATGCATGTATATATAATTTATATATATACATATGCTTTAAAAATATCCTACCATATCAATTCTTTTTTTTTGGGGTGGGGGGGGTCTGGTTGTGGGGCCTGAACTCTGGGCCTGGGCACTGTCCCTCAGCTCTTTAGCTCAAGGCTAGCACTCTACCACTTGAGCCACAGCGCCCCCTTCTGGCTTTTTTTTTCTGCTTATGTGGTGCCAAGGAATCAAACCCAGGGCCTCATGCATGCAAGGCAAGCGCTCTACCACTGAGCCACCTTCCCAGCTCTCAATTCATTTTTTGTAGGATTTGTTTTTTTGTGTGTGTGCGGTATACCCAAGCCTTTTTATTTTTACCTTTTTTATTTCCTTTTTTTTATTGTGAAAATACCATACAGAGGGGTTACAATTACATGAGCAAGGTAATAAGTACATTTCTTATCAAGCATTGTTGCCTCCTCCTTTGTTTCCCCTTCTCATCCCTTCCCATTCCCCCTCCCCCCCCCAGAATTTGTTTTTTGTTGTTAATTCTTTTGTTCTTTGGGCCAGTAGGAGCTAGGAATGATATAGAGGCAACATGTTGAGTTCTTGTTAAGGAGATTTCTTCCAAATAACTCAGCTCATTTTTTCTTTGCAATACTGAGATTTGAACTTACATCCTTGATCTTACTAGTCAGATGCTGTGCCACTTGAGCCATACTGCTAACCCAAAAACTCAATCTTGATAGGCTCTGAATTATAATGTACTATAGTAATAAGGTGACAGGTACCTCACAGAAATGTAATGTGGGACACATGTTTGATGAATGGCAAGTATGCAATGCAAAAGATGATGACTTTCAACTTTAATTTAATTAATTTGAATTAAAATTTAATTAATATGAAATTTAAAATGCCATTCTCATATATGCTTACATCTCTGCATCCCCCTCAACATTAGGACCAGTGAAAGTGAATGAATGAAGACTTAAAAAGAGGGACTGGGAAGGTGGCTCAGTGGTAGAGTGCTTGTCTTGCACGCATGAGGAGCTGGGTTCGATTCCTTAGCACCACATAAACAGAAAAAGCCAGGGGCTGGGAAGGTGGCTCGGTGATAGAGCGCTTGCCTTGCATGCATGAGGCCCTGGGTTTGATTCCTCAGCACCACATAAGCAAAAAGAAAAAAGCCAGAAGTGGCATTGTGGCTCAAGTGGTAGAGCACTAGCCTTGAGCTGAAGAGCTGAGGGACAGTGCCCAGGCCCAGAGTTCAGGCCCCACAACCGATCCCAAAAAAAAAAAAAAGAAAAGAAAAAGAAAAAGCCAGAAGTGGCGCTGTGGCTCAAGTGGTAGAGTGCTAGCCTTGAGCTGAGGAGCTGAAGGACAGCGCCCAGGCCCAGAGTTCAAGCCCCACAACTGGCAAAAAAATAAATAAATAAATAAACATGGCCCAATGATTAACCTTTAAAAAAAAGATTTAAAAAGGTTTGTATTTAATTGGTATGAAATCAGTCTTAGAAAGGTTAACCAGAGGGTATTTTAAGTTTTATTCAATTTTTCAAAGAATATTCCTTCTTTTGATGAATTATAACTTAAGTGCCCTTTATGATTCCTGCCTCTATGTAATAATAATGAATAATTTCAGCATTTAAACTGTAACCCTTTAAAATATTTTTTCTTATTAGGTGGTATGTACAGTTACCTACACAGCAAGCTCATCAGTATCATGAATTAGAGACTCCTTGCCTCCCTTTATCACCCTCCCCCTTTCCTGTGGCTTCTATTGAGGAAGAGGAAGCTGCACTTAGAGATGAGAATTGTGCATTACCTTCACGTCTTCATCCTCAGGTTGCACAAAAGATTCAAGAGCTGGTGTCACAGGGAGTAGAACAAGTATATGCAGTAAGAAAACAGCTACGGTATAGTAAAAGAAAGCTTTTTTCTGCGTTTTTCATCTTTATGCTTTGGTTTATTTAACACATTTAACATTGATACTTTCTAGAATATATGCTATCAGAGGAAAAGGAACATAGTTTATATCAAAAAAATCTTTATTTATGAACTGATCATTTTCAGCAGATGCCCTAGTTTACCTATAATGTGATTTATTAGGACTCTGATTACTCATGTGAGACATTATATTTTTGACCAGTTAGACTATCCTAAGTGATATATAAATTTAATTATATAATAAATACTTTCAGAGAAAAAAATTTCTCAAGAACCAAAAAATTTAAAATCTAAGCCAAGCTGGGCACCAGTGTCTCACGCCTGTAATACTAAGCTACTCAGGAGGCTGAGATCTGAGGATTGAGGTTCAAAACCAGCCCAGGCAGGAAAGTCTGTGAGACTCTTATCTCTAGTAAACCATTAGAAAACCGGAAGTGGCACTGTGGCTCCAGCGGTAGAGTTCAGCTGAAGAGCTCAGGGACAGCACCCAAGCCCAGAGTTCAAGCCCCACAACCAACCAAAAAAAAAAAAAATCTAAGCCGAAATATGTATCTCAGACTATTTGGAATACAATTAAGTTTTGTTACAAGATGAAATAGGGAAAATATTTACTATAATAAGGTATTGTTAGAAATATTTAAATGAATTGTTACCTTGATTATCAGTAGTTAGACCAGAGTAGTACAAATGTAATCTTATTAGAAAAAAATATTTGTTATAATAAAATTTATAGTTAAAATTATTTATGATGCTTATTATATATTAGAGATTATAATATATAATATGTACATATTATATACATATTACACATATATAATACATAGTACATAACAATATAATGTATTTATATGTAATATATATTATAATATATTATGTATTATATGAATAATATATATTATAATATATTATATATGATTATATTATATATTATATAATTATAATTTAACATTAAGTTTAAATTTAAAATAGTAAAATTTAAAATAATAAATAATTTAAAATAATTCTTTACACACATAATCTTAGTCTTAAAGCAGCTCTACAAAGTGAGTATATTTATACTCAGTCTACATATGAGAAAATGGAAACACAAAGTAGTTGAATAATAGGCTTCAAAGGCAGAGTCAGAACTGAAATTTAAGCCTAATTCTGTAGGCTATGCAAATTATCTTAGTTTCTGATATTAATCATGCTCCTTCTAGTTACTTTGATCTATTTTTAAAATTGTTTTGGAGAACCTGAGTTTGAACTCAGGACTTTTCAACTAGGCACTCAGTCTGCCATTTGAGCATGCCCCCAGGCTTTTGTCTTTAGTTATTTTTTTGAATAGGGTCTTGTGGTTATCTCTGGGGCAAGCCTTGGACTGTGATTCTCCTACCTACACCCACTATGAGCTGATATAACAAGTATGCATCATCACAAGTAGCTTCTGTGTTAAGATGGGATCTCTGTAACTTTCTGCCTGGGTTGGCCTTGAATAATGATCCTCCTAATCTCCACCTCCTAAGTAACTGGAATTACAGCATGAATCATTCCATTGGGACTCTTACTATTTATTGTGTAGCATAATCTAAACAGCAAAGTTAGCACTTTCTAAAATCATTTCTCATTTAATACATGACATCTATTTAACAGTTCACTTAGTCTTTTTATTTTATTTCCATTGGGATGTCTTTAGAAAAAGCCAAAATTTGGTAAAACCATTCATTGTTTACTATACCTAGGACAATATACTGACTTTAAACTACTTGAAATGAGATTTATTAAGGACAGAGGAATAATACAACTCTAATTTATTATTATTATTATTTTTTGTTGTTGTTGTTCATGGGGCTTGAACTCAGGGCCCAGGTGCTATCCCTGAGCTTTTTTACTAGCATTCTACCACTTTGAGCCATAGTGCCATTTCTAGTTTTCTGGGGATTAATTGGAGATAAGAATCTCACTGTCGGGGCTGGGAAGGTGGCTCAGTGGTAGAGCACTTGCCTTGCATGCCTGAGGCCCTGGGTTCGATTCCTCAGCACCACATAAGCAAAAATAAAAAAGCCAGAAGTAGCACTGTGGCTCAAGTGGTAGAGCGCTAGCCTTGAGCTGAAGAGCTGAGGGACAGCACCCAGGCCCAGAGTTCAGGCCCCACGACTGGACCCAAAAAAAAAAAAAAAAAAGGAATTTCACTGTCTTCAAACCACAATCCTCAGATCTCAACCTCTGGAATAGCTAGGGTTACAGGTATGAGCCACCAGCATCTGGCTCAATTCTGCAATTTGGTTCATTGAGTATAATATACAAAACATATATTTGTTAAACTTAGTTATTCCCTTGATACATTTATTTGTATATGACTATATAGCAATGCTGTCTTTATTTCTTTCTTCTCGTCTATTTGTAAAGTTTGAACATGTCAAACTGCTGCTAGATACAGTACCACATGATGCTTTGGCGTATAATTTGGGTATAGGCTCAATCTCAATTTCTTACTAGGTAGAATTATCATGTTGGGCAAATTATGTAACTTCTGAAGTATTCTGTTTTCTCATCTGTTAAATGGGAATGATAATTGTAACCTTGTCACAGAGCGTAGTAAAAGTTCAGGGAAATACTTAGCAGTTCTGTACTATGTTTGACAAACATGATACCTAAACTGAGAAGTGAGCCCTTTAAATTCATAAAATGAATTCATAAAATTCATAAAAATGAAAAGGTCACTGTAATGTGCTTTAGCCTTTTAACCAATGAAAATACAATATTTCTTTATTTAACTTGTGTGAATTCTGACTTAATACATGGGAAAAAATTAAAGTGGGAAACATAAAATACTTATTCTTATAGACCTGTAAAATACTTTATAGATGTTTATTATAAAGTATAATTACTAGATTACTTATATTTTTATTCTATTTTATATTTTTTACAGAAAATTTGTAGAAAGAGAACTGTTCAAACCTGATGAGGTACCCGAAAGACATAACTTATCATTTTTTCCAACTGTAAATGATATAAAAAATCATATCCATGAGGTACAGAAATCCCTGAGAACTGGAGATATGGTATATAACTCAGAGATTATTCCAGCAACGGTATGATTACAACTATAGTTCTTTATTTTATTAGGGACTATTTTATTGGAGACTCTTTATTAGCTTCTTTATTTGGCCTGATAGAGATGTCTACCACTAGACTATCTAAATAGCTGAAAAAAATAGAACTGGGGTGTGACTCAAGTAGTAGAGTGTTTGCCTAACAAGTGGGAAGCCCTGAATTCAATCTCTAGTACCACCAATATGACAACCAAAAATGTAAATGCTAGACCTCTTAGATGATAACTTGACTAATTTTTTATTACATTTACAAGAAGAAACAGTGGATTTCCAATCTGAAAATAACAACAATACTAATCTTCACTTATAAATCAGTATTTTTTTCTTTGCAGAATTATTTCTTATGGCTAAGCAGTCATTTATTCAGTGTATACTGAGTATATAGCCCTCCTGTAAAAAATACATGAGCAAGGTTGAATTGTTCCAACTTGAATTCAGGAGGTGATGCTGTTGTATCCTTATGCCATATGTGGGTATCAGCTTTACCTCACAGTTTGATATTATAGTTTTTCCTATATATAGCTTATTCTGATGAAATTTTACTACTGCTACCCAGAAATCACTAATTACAATTCAGACAGGTAGTGATTGTGGCATGAAAATCTGAGTAGCAATACCCTTTGTTCTCCTAACTTCATTCAAATTCAATACTAGAATAGATTCTTACCTTTATGAAAGGTAGAACTTCTGTTTCTTTCTATATAACTATCTAACTTTTATAGCATTCAGATCCCTCATTATAGTAAAAGTCAAGGAAATTCTTGAAGTGTTCAGTACTGTGTTTGAATCTAGAAACATTTTTAAAATATAGCCTCCTAATCCTATCCAGAATTCAAGAAATAAAGCAGATTTGGTTAGAATTGATTATTACCACCTATACTTCCTATGCATATTCTTGGTAGATGAATTCAAGAACCTAATATATTTGGAGAGTGAGGTATACTTGTGGTATGAGAATGTGAACTAAAGAGTAATTACAGAATAAAGCACAAATATAGTCTGACAAGTGAAGTAAGCCAGAGCCAAAGAAACGCAGACTGCATAGTTTCCCTCGTTTGTGGTAACTAGAATGTGCCTATAAATCTATAAGTACACACACTAAATGATTAAAAAATATATATGTATATGTGTGTGTGTGTGTGTGCGCACACACACACACACACTGGGACATGATAAATTACATAGGACTCTAGATATTCACATACTGAGGCCAAAGGGAGGATATGCATAGGAGTGGTTGACAAAGGCTCAATAGCTATGTGCATATCATATAAGTAATATTTTATGAAATGAACTTCAAGAAAAGGAATCGACGTTTTTTAGTTGCCATTGTTGCTGTTTTTGTTTTCTTTTTCTTTTGTTTGTTTGTTTTGGGAAGGTAAGGGGAGCACAGAAAAGGTAGAACAAGGGTTGAAGGAATACAACAGCAGTACTCACTAGGCACTATATGGATGCATCTTGTGGTTGGGGACAGGAGGGAAAAACTGGGAGAGAGCAAGGAAAGGAGAGACATGGTTCAAAAAGAATTGTACTCATAGCCAGGTGTCGGTGGCTCACACCTGTAATCCTAGCTACTCAGGAGGCTGAGATCTGAGGATCGCGGTTCAAAGCCAGCCTGGGCAGGAAAGTCTGTGAGACTCTTTATCTCCAATTAACCACTAGAAAACCGGAAGTGGCGCTGTGGCTCTAGCGATAGAGCGCTCCCCTTGAGCTGAAGAGCGCAGGGACAGTGCCCAAGCCCAGAGTTCAAGCCCCACGACCGACCAAAAAAAAAAAAGAATTGTACTCATAACCTGATTCAAGTAACTGTAACCCCTCTGTATATCAACTCTACAATAACAACAAATAAATAAAAATAAAATAGAATCATATGTTGATGTTTTAAGATTTCTTTCCCTTCTAAATATTGTTTCTCTTAAGCTGTGGCTTTTATTTTAACTTTGTTTATGGTACCATTTTACATAAAGAACTTTTTATTTTTATATAAAAAATTTTTGTGTAACTTTTTTTATTGAAATAAATATTCTCATTTCAGCTTCAGTGGACAACAGATGGTGAGAATATTCTCAGAGAAACTGTGACAGTTACATTTGCAGAAGGTGGGTTATCTTGAATATTTGCATAGTATTAAATCAAAGAACATTAAAACTTTAAGGAACTTAAGATACTATCTTATCTAATCAAAATTTACAGATAACAGGCTAGAGCTGGTGGTTTTTACCTATAATCCTAGCTAATTGAAGTGGAGAGGTGGGAGGACTGCTGTCTAAAGAGCTGACCTGTAGCAAAAGTAGAAGACCCAATCTGAAAAATAAACCGAAAACACAAAAGGGCTGGGGAGGCCTCACTCATTACCTATCAATGAATGTATTGAGTTCAGTTCTCCATACCACCAAAAAATGTTTTATTGCTTCAGCCTTTTTGCTTAATTGTTTCTCAGAAAGGGCCTTGTACTTTTGCCAAGTCTGGCCGTGGACCTTGGTCCTCGTTGCTATCTTATAGCTGAATTATAGTCCAAAGCCACCACACCTAGCTTGTTTGTTGAGATAGCCTCCCATTAACTTTTTGTCCAGCCCAGCTGGCCTAGAATGTCACAATTTTTCTGTCTCACCTCTCAAGTAGCTAGGATTGCAGGTATAAGCCACTATGCTTCCCTCCTATACCCCCATCCCATACTTTTTTCCCTCTTCCTTTTCCTTTCCTTTCTTCTCTCCCTCTATTCTTTTTCTTCCTTTTTTGTAAGTACCAGAGTTTGAACTTACACTTAACACTTTTTTTTTCTGATCCTAGAATTTGAACTTAGGGCTTCACATTTATTCAGCCTGCTTGTTTGTTCTGGTAGCACTCTACTAGTTCTATCCTTTGGTATTTTGGAGAAAGAATTTTGTGGACTTTGCTACCTGTGCTGGATTTAAGCCAACAATCCTCCAAGTTTAGTCACCTTAGTATCCAGGATTACAAGTGTGAGCCCCATACCCAGGCCCCAGGCCTCACACTTGATAGGTCTGTACTCTGTCACTTTTGCCACCCTGCTACCCCTTTTTACATTGCTTATTTTTGAGATAGGTTCTCTTTTCATGCCTGGGGGACCTATTTGTAATTTTCTGCATACTTGAGATGACAGGAGTGTACCACTATGTCCAGCCATTGTACTTCCTCCATTACTGGGATGACAGACATGTGCCATTGCCTTATATGAAGCCTTTCAAACATTTTGCCCCAGCTGACCTCAAACCATGATCCTGATCCTTAGATCTCTGCCTCCCAGGTAGCTAGGAGTCCAAGCGTGAGCTATTGTGCCTGATTCTAGGCGCTTGCTTTCTCTCTCTCTCTCTCTCTCTCTCTCTCTCTTTCTCTCTCTCTCTTTCTTTCTCTCTCTCTCTGTATATAAATATATTATGTATATAACATATATATAACTTTTTAGTATATATATACATATATATGTATATATATATATATATATATATATATATATATGAAGGGGGCAGTTGTAGGCTCTTGAACTCAGGGCCTGGGCTCTGTCCTTGAGCTTTTTTGCTCAAGGCTAGTGCCGTAGCACCACTTCCAGTTTTCTGGGTGTTAATTAGAGATAAGACTCTCACAGACTTTCCTGCCCAAGCTGGCTTTGAACTGTAATCTTCAGATTTCAGCCTCCAGAGTAGCTTATATAACAGGCATGAGCTACTGGCGCCTTGCTTTAAAAATATATTTTATAAGTAAGGAAACCATGACCCAAAAAGGCAAAGAGCAGCTAGAAAATTCCACCTATTAAAGCATCTCCTATTTTAAAAAATCATGCTTCTTTATGACAAAAATTTCGAGAATAGATATTAATATACTCAGCTAGAGGGCTGGCTAATTCTGGTAGTGATAGCCTTAAGATACCTTGATTTGGAAACTGTTTTTGTCCGTTTTGTATGGCTTGTATTTCTTTTTTTTTTTTTGGTCCGGTCGTGGGGCCTGAACTCTGGGCCTGGGCGCTGCCCCTCTGCTCTTCAGCTCACGGCTAGCGCTCTACCACTTGAGCCACAACGCCACCTCCGGCTTTTTTCTTTTTGCTTATGTGGTGCTGAGGAATTGAACCCAGGGCCTCAAGCATGCAAGGCAAGCGCTCTACCACTGAGCCACCTTCCCAGCCCTATTCTATTGTCTATCAGCATTCCAGACATATTTCAGATATTTTGCTTTTATTCTCTCCTATGGAAATGTCTTTTCTCTTCTACATGGCAAGCTCTTTTTATTACCCAAGTAATAATTTCTGGTTTTAAGTTGTTTTTATTGTAGTGCTGGAGATCAAACCCAGGATTTTTTGCATGTTAGGCAAATGCTCTACCATTGAGCTACATTCATAGCACTTAAGTGATCTTTTAACCTCACCCCTTACTAATAAGAGAACTACTCATTCTTTTCTATTTGCCCCTGCATTCAACATGGTAGTTTATTGTTTACCTGTCTGTATCTGAATATTATTTGAGCTTTTAATAGGCAAGTATTGTATTTTATTCAAACTAATTAGTACCTAGAAAAAATGCCTGTTAAAAAGTTAACTTCTCAATAAATGCTTTAGAGTTAGTGAATAAGTATATATTATATGGTACTTTGGTATTTCACTTATTAACCTATAAGTATCTTTATCAATACAATAGCTTTTAAATTCTTAGAATGAGTTCTTCTATACATACTTAAATCATTATACTCAGTGCTGGGCATATGATAGAATTGACAATAAAGAAATGATATTTGAAAATGTCACTCTGAAGCTAATAACTGGAGGAAAAATAGGAATAGCATATGGAAAAGCCAAGCAAGGAACAGCTTGTCATATTTAATGAACTTAAGAAAGTTAGCATGGATTTACCATATGTAGCACTTGGAATTAAAACTGGATAAGCAAAAACAGGTTTAGGAAGCCATTTCAATATATACATGTAGAAGGTAATTATGGTTTAGTCTATAGTTGGTGATATACATATTATAGACAGTTTTAATAGTTATTTTTTCTTTATTAGCTTACGTTAGTTATATGAAGGATTTCATTGTTACATTTCCACATACATTTATAATGTATTCTAATAAATCTCACTCCTTTAATTATCCTTCTTTAATAATTATTTTAAAATTAGAATACCAAGACTTTGTTAATGGTTGAGTAGATGTATGTGTAGTAAGGGATAAAAGAGTTAAAATGACCTTTGATGACCTCTGCATTTCAGACTTGAACTGTTGACTGTGGTGGCAATTACTTAGTTCAGCAATACTGCCAAAGAGTAAAGTGGGTATGGATGAGAGTTGGGAGGAAGAAGAGGGAAAAATGTCATATTAGGGTTTGAAGCTAGAGGATCCAGATCATTTCAATGGAATGGATGAGGAGGAAGCCATTTTGGGATAGTTGAAGCGTACATTTGAGATAACTGAAAAGGTAGGGACAATATGAACCACTTTTCAAAGAATTTTTCTATAAAATCTGGAGTGGTAGTGCAAGCCTACAATCCCAGCAGTTGAAAAGCAAAGGTAGAATGATTTTAAGTTTGAGTTCAAGGCCAGCCTGGGATCCATAGGAAGACCCCATCTTTAAAAAAAAATTCTTTTAAGAGATATATGAGGTTGAGGGAAGGTATTTTAAGGTAAAAACAGAGACTTTGAAGAGAGACCAATGTAGATGTTTATGGGAAGTTGAAGAAATTTCTGTCTGTTTTGCTTATCTTTTCAAGTAAGAATAAGGAAAGAGCCAGGCACCAAGGGCCATACCTGTAATCCTAGTTACTCAGGAGGCTGAGATCTGAGAATTGAGGTTCAGAGCCAGTTCAGGCAGTCAAACTTCAAGACTTTTGCCTCTAATAACCCAACAAAAAGCTGGAAGTAGGGGTTTGGCTCAAGCAGTAGAGCACTAGCCATGAGGGGAAAAAGCTGAATGAGAGCTAGGTATAATAATAACAGTAATAATAGTAAAGGTCTCAGAAAGAATAATGTGAGTTTGAGGGAAGGATTGCCAGTTTTAGGTGAAGGTTCAGTTGAAGCTGATGTCCGTTAATAATTGAGTTTCTTTTTCAGGACCACTTGGCTCCTGTGTGTGGTCATAGGAAGCCATATTCATCCACATATTCTCCTGTGTATGGTCATAGGAAGCCATATTCATCCACATATGACTTTACCAAGGGAATATAACCAAAGGCAGATGTGTTTAAGGTACTTGTAATTTACTGAAAGTTTAGGCGTTGGACACAAATATGGGTAGGGAATGAATGTTATGAAGGAATGGTTGGTAGAGCTGAAGAAGACTGCAGAATCTTTTGACTGGAGTCATATAAGGTTGACAAATAATTCCAATTATTTGGAATGTGAAGTACCTATACACAGTTCCTATAAGAATAGAGACTGTGATCAGAGAATGGAATATTTGAATGTGAGATTTCAAAGGTAGAATAGTCCCAAGTGTTGTAAAGATATGGTAGCATAGTATTGGGTACCTGCAACAGAATGAAATAAAAGGACATTAGAAATTAAGATGCCTTGAAGTTGGGTGCCAGTGGTTCACTATAATGCTAACTACTCAGAAGGCTGAGATGTGAGGATCACAGTTCAAAGCCAACCCAGGCAAACAGATGTCAGAACTCTTCAGTTAACTACCACAAAGTTGAGGTACTATATAGCACAAATGTTGTATGCCAGCATGAGCAAAAATACTGAGCCTCCTATGCAACCATTTGTTGCTGCAAGTTACATATCTCACTCACAGAAACACACAGGCTTGGGTTAAAAGATCAAAAAGACCTTCTAAGCAAATAGATCTGGAAGCAGGCAGGAGTGGCCATCCTTATATCTTCTCAAGTTAAAATCAGTCAGTAAAGACAAAGAAGGTTACTTTATATTAACAAAGGGAATAGTCTATAAAGAAAAAATTAGAGTTGAGATTCACACACACACACACACACACACACACACACACACACACACACACACACACACACACACACACACACACACGATACCAGCACATTCAGGTCCATTAGAAAAAAGACGTACATTTACTAGCACTGTTAGACCCAAAAATCAAAAAATAATGAACACTTCAGTATCCTATTTCACCAACAGATATGCCATCTAAACAAAAAGGCCAACAATGGAAACCTTAGACTTAAATGACATCATAGACTAAATGGAATTAAAAGATATTTACAGAATATTTAATGTAGAGGCTCACAATACATATTTTTCTCAGTATCTGGAATTTTCTCCAACTTAGATCATATCCTAGAACATATAGTAAGTCTGAGCAAATACAAGAAAATTATAATAGCTGCTCTTATTCTGTCTAATCACAATGACATTAAACTAGAGCTTGACAGCAAATGACACTACAAAAAATGTTAGAGACTGAACAATATATTGTTGAATGACATGTGGGTTACTGAATAAATAAAAGAAGAAATCAAAAAGACCCTGATGATTAAAGAAAATGAACACATAGTGGGGCACAGGTGGCTCATACCTATAATCATAGTTACTCAAGAGGCTGAAATCGAAGGGTCATAGTCTGGGCCGGAAAGTCCATGAGACTCTTATCTCCACATAACCACCAGAAAACCAAAGTGGCGATGTGGCTCAAGTGGTAGAGCACTAACCGTTAGCACAAAAGCTCAGGGAGAGCACCCAGGTCCTGACTTCAAGCCCTAAGGCTGACAGAAAGAAAGTGAAAGAAAGAAAGGAAGAAAGAACAAACGGACAGACAGAATGAAGGAAAGAAGGAAGGAAGGAAGGAAAGAAAGAAAGAAGAAAGAAAAAACCTATCCTCCTAGAATTTCTGAGATACAACAAAGGAAGTTTTTGGGGTTTTTTTAAGGAAATATTTTTTAATAGCTCTTTGCATTTATAACATAATTCACTTCAGCAATAACAGAATCCTTTTCTTCCAAAGCCACAAAGTGTATTACAAATGAAAGCTGGTATTGCTGCTAATCAAAACATCACGATTGATCTTTCATATAAAACCACTTTACGTGTTAACTTGTAACAAAGGACATTTTTAAGAGGAAAATTCATAGCCATAAGTGCCTAATGCTAAAAAAAAAAAAAGAAAAAAAGAAAAAAAAAATCAGCCAGGCACTGGTGGCTCACGCCTGTAATCCTAGCTACTCAGGCAGCTGAGTTCTGAAGATCACAGTTCAAAGCTAGCCTGAGCAGAAAAGTCCCTGTGAGACTCCATCTCCAATTAACCACTTAAACATTAGAAAGTGTGTCTCAAGTGGTAGAGCACTAGCCTTGAGCACAAAGAAGCTCAAGGATAGCATCCAGGCCCTGAGTTCAAGCCCCAGGATTGCCAAAAATAAAAAAATCCCAAAACCAGAAAATGCTTAATGCCAATGTTACAACTCATACATCTCAAAAAACTACAACAAACCAAATTCAAAACTAGCACATGAAGAGAATTAGTAAACATTAGGGCATAAATTAGTGAAGACTAAAATAAAAAGAGTAACAACAAAAACCTAAAAAATACAGCAAAACAAAAGTTGGCTCTTTGAACAAATAAATAGGATTGATAGGGGCTGGGAAGGTGGCTCAGTGGTAGAGCGCTTGCCTTGAATGCATGAGGCCCTGGGTTCGATTCCTCAGCACCACATAAGCAGGAAAAAAAAGCCGGAAGTGGAGCTGTGGCTCAAGTGGTAGAATGGTAGCCTTGAGCTGAATTGCTGAGGGACAGCGCCCAGGCCTAGAGTTCAGGCCCCACGACTGGACCTGCCCCCCTCCCCCCCAAAAAAAAAAGATTGATAAGCTCCTAGTTAATTTGACCAAAAGAAAAAGAGAAGAGACTTAATAAAATTAGAGGTGAAAAAGGAATAATAAAATAAAAATAGAAATCCAAGGGATCATGAGGGAATATGTTGAAAATCTATACTCAGATAAGCTGGAAAATCTAGGAGAAATTGAAAGTTTTTTATATACAGTGAACTGACTAAAACTTAACCAAGAAAACATAAACTGCTATGACAAGCAATAAAATTGAAGCAATAACAGAGTCCTCCTACAAAGAAAAGTCAAGAGCCAGATCAATTCATGGCCATATTCCACCAGAACTTCACAGAACTTACACTAAACTCTTTCATGGATAGAAAAAGAAGAAACACTACTAACCAGTGCTGTTTTACAGCCTTTCGAAAACCAGAGATGTAACAACAACAAAAATAGAATTATAGACCAATCTCGTTGATGAACATTGATGTAAACATTCTCAATAAGATTCTTGCAAATGGAATTTAACAACACAAAAAAAGCACACAGAGATGCAGATGATTCAACATACATAAATCAATAAATATAAAACAGCCCATAAACAGGACCAGGAATAAAAAAATCACACAATTATCTCAATCAGTGAAGAAAATGCCTTTGACAAAATTCAATATCCTTGTATGATAAAAGTTCTGAAGAAACTAGGAATAGAACAAACCTGTAGCCAACTTATTAAATGGGGAAAAACTGAAATAATTTCCCCTAAAGAACAAAATAAGGCTGTCTACTCTTCCCACTCTTATTCCCTAGCTAGAGAAATAAGGCAGAAGGAAATAAAAAGCATACAGATAGGGAAGGAAGAAAGTATCCCTATTTACTGGTGATAGGATCCTGTACTTTACAGACATTACCAAAAAGTTCTAGAACTGAGAGAGCCTAACTTTGGAAAGATAACAGGATATAAAATCAATACTCAAAAGTTAGTAGCCTTTCTATAAAACAAAAATGAGGGGCTGGGAAGGTGGCTCAGTGGTAGAGCACTTGCCTTGTATGCATGAGGCCCTGGGTTCGATTCCTCAGCACCACATAAGCAAAAAGAAAAAAAAAAAAAAGGTGGAAGTGGCGCTGTGGCTCAAATGGTAGAGCGCTAGCCTTGAGCTGAAGAGCTGAGGGACAGCGCCCAGGCCCAGAGTTCAGGCCCCACAACTAGACCCCCCAACAAAAATGAATAGGCTGAGATGGAAGTCAGGAAAACAATTTACAATAGCCTCAAAAACAAAATACCTAGGTATTAACCAAGGAAGAAAATACCTCCACAATGAATACTACAAATCCTTGAAGAAATTAAGGAAGACATTAGAAGTTGGAAAAACTGTTCATGGATTAGCAGAAGTAATATGAAAATGATTGTACTGCCAAAAGTAGTATATGGGTTCAATTCATATCTACCAAAATCCAAGTATCATTCCACACAGAATTACAGAAATCAATCCAAGAGCTCATATGTATGCATTAAAAAAAATAATAGCAAAAAAAATTCTTAATAAAAAAGATCAAAGCCAGAGGTAACACTATAACCATACTTCAAATTATACTACAAAACCAGAAACAAAAACACATTGGTACCCACACAAAAACAGACCCAAAGACCAATAAAACAATATAGAAAAACCAGGAAAAAGTCAGGTACCTGTAGCCAACTAATTTTTGACAAGCCAATATACAGTGGATAAACGATAGCCTCTTCAATAAATGGTGCTGGGAAAACTGGGTTTCTACCTTCAGGAGACTGAAACTGGGCTTCTGTCTCTTACCCTGGGGAGGGGTGGGGGGGAATTGATCAAAGAGTTCAAAATAGGACTGGATCAAAGAGCTCAAAATAAGACCTGAAACTTTAATAAACTACAGGAAAATGGAAAAAAAAAATCTAGAAGTTGCTGGGAAGGGATGGGAAGGAGAAACAAAGGAGGAGGCTACAATGCTTGATAAAAAACGTACTCATTATCTTGCCCATCTAATTGTAACCCCTCTGTACAGTATTTTCACAATAAAAAAATAAATAAAAATTTAAAAAAATCTAGAAGTTATAGGCAAAGGTAAAATTTCAGAATAGTTGCCCAAAAGATAGGAACAAAAATTGACAAATAGAACTATATCAAAGAGTTTATTCACAGCAACAGATCACAAGAACTAAGAGACAACACACAAAATGGGAGAAATAGTTCTCTAGAATTAAGTTCCAAAATATTCAAAGACCTCAACAAATTAAACAGGAAGGAACAGATAATCCAGTTAATAAATGAGCAAGTGAATTGAAAAGTTCTTACAAGAAGAAATACAAATAGTTAATAAATACTTAATGAAATGTTCAGCATCCATAGTCATAAAAGAAATGCAAATTAAAACCACACTAGTAAGAATGGCAGCCATCAAGTAAACAAACAACAAATGCTTGCAGGGATGGAGTAGGAAAGGAAAAAGCCCACAAACTCTTGGTTGGAACATAGAATAGTGCCAGAGGCTAGTGGCTCATGCCTGTAATCCTAGTAACTCTGGAGGCTGAGATCTGAGGACTGCAGTTCAAAGCCAGCCCTGACAGAAAAATTTGTAGACTATCAGCTCCAATAAACCACCAGAAAACTGGAGGTGGTGCTGTGGCTCAAGTAGTAGATCACTAGCCTTGAGCTGAAGAGCTGAGGGACAGCACCCAGGCCCAGAGTTCAAGCCCCATGACCGACAAAAGTAATAAAAAATAAAATAAAATGCAGCCTTCCATAAAGCCCTAGGGCATAGACACGACCAACAACAACAACAAAAAAGGTAAACTAGTGCAACCACTATGGAAATCAGTATTGATCTTCCTCAAAAAACTAAAAATGAGGGCTGGGAAGGTGGCTCAGTGGTAGAGCGCTTGCCTTGCATGCATGAGGCCCTGGGTTCTATTCCCCAGCACCACATAAGCAAAAAAAAAAAAACAAGAAAACTAAAAATGACCTTCCTTAAGAACCACACTACCACTACCAGACATCTATCTATCTATATATATGAGAATAAATCAATATACTAAAAAGACACCTGTGTATCTATGTTTATGGTAGTACTGTTCATGATAGCCAATGATAGAATCTACTGAGATGCCCAACAACACATGAGTGAACAAAGATTATATATTATATCTCTATTCTGTTTTAATAGTTTGTATTTTATATAATTCAGGAAATTCACCAGGAGAATCAGTTACCACCAAAGTGGGAACAACTCAGACAGGGGCTTCTTTGTCTCCAGAGCCAAATCAATTGCTCTCCTCATTGCCCTCATTACAGCCCAAAATATTTACACAACTACAGGTAGGTATCCACACTAGAGAAAGAAAACTTCATTAATATCCCCTGATATTAATATTGGATTAGCTTACAACCAATTTGGGGATTTTCTCCTTTTGTAGGTGTTTCCTTTCTAGTGATTTTAGAGAATTGTTTCAGAATGGTAATAATTAAATATTTCTTTGCTATCAATCTCCTGAATATTATGATTTAAGATGCTAATTCAAAACTATATTTTGAAAAAAGTTGGAGGTTAGCTAAAAGTGCAGTAAAATTTTGTTATTTTTCCTTTGGTTCTTGTTTCTCATTTAATATTTAATAAAATGTGTATAGTAACTATATACTTGTTAGTTTGTGTTCCATTTCTTTCAAAATACAGTATAGCCTATAAGACTGTCATACAAGTATTTTGATATGACTCTTCTGCTTAAAAGGGTTTGCAGTTACAAACAAGAATCACCTCCCCTGAAGGATCACCAAATCTGCTATCAGTAAATAACCATCCCTCCTCCAGTCCTTCAAGACTTCTGAATTCTACAGGAAGTACCATAATGAATAATAATTCTCTACTGCTTGGTCAAAGTCATAGCCTTCAAACAGATATATGTCTAACTCAAAACAATAGTACTGCCTCTGCCATGGGTAACCTCCCAGAACCAGATCAAACTCTAGTTGCCGTGGATCAGCTGGTGGAAGATGATGTTGAAAATACTGAGAATCTGGAAGGAAGTGTTCATAGGATTCTGTTGGGAGATATGCACACCATTCCAATACAAATTATAGACAACCACTCAGCTCTTAGTAAGTTAAAGTCAATTTATGATTTTTTTAGTCTTTATGAACTATCATTCACTATGATAAAAACTATGATAGGTTCAGATAGAAAAACTATCATTTCTACCCAGTGGGTTATAATATTTAAAACTCCAGCAAAATTATGAGAGAAAAGGAAATTTCAGTAGTTTAAGAACTCTTAAACTAGCCGGGCGCTGGTGGCTCACGCCTGTAATCCTAGCTACTCAGGAGGCTGAGATCTGAGGATCGCGGTTCAAAGCCAGCCCGGGCAGGAGAGACCGTGAGACTCTTATCTCCAATAAACCACCAGAAAACCGGAAGTGGCGCTGTAGCTCAAGTGGTAGAGCACTCGCCTTGAGCTGAAGAGCTGAGGGACAGCGCCCAGGCCCAGAGTTCAAGCCCCACGACCGACAAAAAAAAAAAAAAAAAAAAAAAAAACTCTTAAACTTACATTTTTTCTTCCCCTTATTTCTAACTACTTAACCCTATTGAAATTATTCATTTTTAATTATTTTTCCCTGGAAAATCTGTGGTTATGTAAAACAAGAAAAGAATTTAAAACCAGAAAAACAATGTATGAAAGATAAGATTATGTTGTAAAGCCAGAAAAAGATTGTATGGAAAAATGATAGAAGCAAGTAAAAGGAAAGTGTTTGGAAAAAATTGGTATGTGCACACATACATACACAAAGAAAAAAATGTGAAATAAGATGAAGATACTGAGTTCTGTGGACATTGAAAGAGGGCAAGTAAGATTTGGGCACCTGAGTTTAGTCTAAGACATTGTTATCTTCATTAAGTACTAACCCAGTCAAGAACTCTGTTAAGGGGCTGGAATGTGGCTTAGTGGTAGAGTGCTTGCCTAGCATGCATGAAGCCCTGGGTTCAATTCCTCACTACCACATAAACAAAAAGCCACAAGTGGTGCTGTGACTTCAAGTAGTAGAGTGCTAGCCTTGAGCAAAAGAAGCTCAGGGACAGTGCCCAAGCCCTGAGATCAAGCCCAGGACTGTCAAAAAAGAAAAAAAAAGAAAGAAAGAAAAGAACTCTGTTAACTCTTACTTGATGATACTGTTACTTTTTTTTAACACAGATTGTTCTAGACTGAACATTTCTTTTGCTTTGAAGTATGAAAATATTTACAGAAATAATGTTTTTCCTCCATCTTGATTATTGCTCTTCTGGGTAAAGAAAATTGTGATATAACTCCTTCAAGAAACAGTTACTATCTTTTAGATTTATTGGAAGCTTACCTTAAAGAAAACTCATCCAGAGGGCTTTGGTACTTGTAATTTATTGAGTAACTTTAATAGATTAGGAGAAAGAGGAGTACATGTGAATTCATTCTCACAATCCCACAAAAATACTATTGGTGTCCCCATTCTACAGGTGAGAAAACAAAGGCTCAGGGAAGTTAAGTAATTGCATGAAGCTCATATTTACTAAGTAACAGGAGAGGGATTTAAACCTAGGTCTATCTTACCTCCCAAAGATTTCTTCAATTCTAACATGTTTTCTCACTCTGTTTTGTGCCACAGTATTTCTGGAAACACTAATCTAAATTGCTTTAAATGAGACTGCCTTTGGATTCACAGTTATGTGATTTTAGTATCTAGATTAATTTGAGGGACTATTTCATCTGGATATGAGTTCCAGGGGTCATTCAACTTCATCCTTTGTTGGTTCTCCATATTTCCACAACTCTTGACAAACTGATACACCCATAGAGCAGCTGGAAAACTGAATCTTGAGAGAGATGAAAATTTGATATTTGACATTCCATTTACCACTTAACAGATTACTACTGGTATGCTACTGGTTTAAAGTACTTTGAAATCAGAATGATAATGTGCCTTCTGAAAGGTTTCAGATAACCAAACCCCTAGCTTACACAGCTAAGTTAGAGCAGTCATATAAGATGTGGCATTGTATTTTCAGCATACCAATTATTTTTCTAAATTACTGCTTAGTTTTTCTACACTACTGTTTGCTTTTCTTCTAAATTCATCTAATTCAAAAGACTGCAGTATCATAAAGTATATTAACCTTTTGGATTTTTCTTTCATGTTTGGTTTCAAAGTTGAAGAAAATCTGGAAGGTACTATTTCTATGAATCAAGTTAAGCAAGAACCCAAAGAAACTACATTGTCTATGGAAGCAAAAAATAAATTGGACTGTAAGACATTATCTGCTACATAAATTTTTGAAGCTTTTCAGAATTTACAACTCTGGTGACTTGTGATATTTATAAAAGAAGGTGAATATTGTCAAAATGCAGCATTGTGATAACTGGACTGAAGACTAGTTTGACTTAAAACTGGTATATTGTTGCCAATTCCATATTTTTTACCTTCCTTAAGAGATACTACTCTTTATTTTGTATAATTTTTATGTTTGTTGATTGTCTAATAATCCAGATTTCAAAAGATTGTTATCCACAGTAATTTATTCTGAACACAAATGTTAACATAGTCCATCCCTGGATATATCCAATTATGATCTTAATAGACAAAGGAGAACAATAACAAAAACAGTATGTGAGTGTATATTTGTTCTGATATATGTATGTCATTAAGATGTGAAGAAATTTTTAGTTAGCAGGTAAGTGAGAAAATATTTATAGTGTCTTATCTAGAAAGATAAAGCATTAGATTTTCCATGACATAAAGCCCAGCAGTTGCATTTGTGGAAACTGCAGTTTCATTTTAGCCTCTTCCTTGTAATTTTCAAACTTCTTCACTACAAACCAATATTATAGTATTGGTTAACTGACAGAATTTAAGTGTCTTGGTAAGTACTGAATTGATTAAATTGATTACTTAAATTGATAAAATAAGCAACAGAAATCAGATTATATGGCATGGATTTCAGCTGTACTGGAGTAAAGTCCTGTCTAAGGGTAAAAAGATAAAGAAATGGAGAGAATTTGGAAAGAGGGGCTTTTTGATGATAGTAGAGGATTTTTTTTGTTTTGAAGATTCAGTGCTGATTAGAAAATAATTTGCATTGTATTTACATTTTTTCCATAACATAGTTCTTAATGAATGAGTATTAGGGTTCATAGTATTTCAAGGTAAGTATATAATATACAGTTTAAAAGTTATACATTTAACATTTTAAAATGTTTGTTAAGTAAATGTATTTGCTTCAAATGCAAATAAATACTAAAAAATTATTCATTATAAGCATCTGTTTTCTGGAAGATTGGCAAGCTAGAAATGTTAAATATAGCTGTCAAGAAATCAGTGTAATCCAGTACACATATGTAATTCCAGCCCTCAGACAGAAGGATTGTGATTTCAAGGCCAACCTGAGATAAATAGTAAGACCCCCATCTCAAAAGAAATTTGTGTGGCATATTTAAAATTTTATGTTTTAAAAATAGTTATTTCAAATAGCTATTAAAGCTTATTTTCAAGGCATATACATATAGTATGAAATTTACCATGATTACATGGATCTCAGTCACTTTTGGCTCCCATTCCTAATTCACTTTGTTTCAAGTATGTAAGATGTATCTAAATGTATTGGAAATAAAAAGAATTCTAAAATTCCTTTCTCTTTAGATTTATACCCTTTTCAATGTAAGGTTTATTATTTATGTTATTTAATGTAAAGTTTATATTTAGCTATGTATACAATTTTTAGTAAGAATTGCTTTTCCTAAGAATTGAATAATTGTTTTTTCTTATTACCATTATAGAAGCATTAAATTATACTAAATTAAACACAATTCTTAGTTACCTCAAACCCAGGTTTTTATTAGCCTCAGTAGGCATAAAAGGATTAAGTTGCAAAAATTTATAGTTCAGCTGTACTATAAAACTATTTTCACTTGTTATTTCTTCTTTTCATGGAAACTTTTCAAGATTTTAGTTGGTCTTCATCTTCCAATAATGTGTATTTAAAATGAAATATAATTCAATATTTTGCCAGTTAAACTATTGTTTTGGAGACATTCCTTTCTTTTTTGATGTTGAGTGGCTAAGGAGAAATGTTTGCTAAAATACACATCCTAGCCAGTTACCTGTGAGAATGAGAGATATCAAAGAATTCAGACTTTGTACATAATCCAAAACAAAATGTAGGTGAGGGAGAGGTAGTTTAGAAGTAGTTTGCTTGCCTAGCATGTACCTGGCCCTGGGTCGTGTCCTAGAATACCCCTCTGCCCCTGACATGAAACAAAAAATGCAGTTAACTTTTTTTTCTCACTTTCTTCTGAATTGATAACTCTTCTGTTATTGTTTTTGTTGTCGTTCTTTTTCAATCCTGAAGAAAGTCATAGTGCATAGTTCCCACAAACAAATGGAAATAAAATTTAAAAATCCTTAAAAGTCCAAGAACATGAAGGAAGGTTTTAATCCCTAATTGTATACTCTTTTGGTTTTTAGGCAGAAACTGGAACTATCAATATTTTCATGTAAGTACTTCAATGAGTAACTCTTTAAAAATGGTTTTGAAATGAGTTTTTAAAAATTCATTTTTCCTCTAACTGCATGTTGAGTTACAATGTGTCAGTATTGCATTTAAAGATGCCTAGCATCATTTTTGAAAACGATGTTTATATATTTAAAGTGTTTAATTATTTTTAAATGCACAGGGTCTTACATACAAATGAATAAAAAATTTAATATCTGTATTTGACATTCTCCTAAAAGCTCTACAGCAGAATCGGACATGTGTTCTTTTGTATCATGTATTACAAGGTGTAATACTTGTACTACTGAGTTGTACATTCAAAATAAGCAGTTAGAAATTCACAATTACAGCTCAGCTTGTTTCTTCATTGTAGTTTTCATGTTCCAAACCTCTAAATGAACTTTATATTTACTTCAGTGAATTAGAGGTAAACACAGTCATAGTGCACTTTTCCTTCAATTTTCTATGTAAGCAACTGGTATATTCAAAGGAAAAGGCTTTAACATCTGATGAAAGTAAATGTTTCCTAAACATTACAAAAGTGATAGGAAACGACATTTTTGGGATCTGGCCTTGATCAGAGTTTCTAATTTTAAGGCACACCGGCTTGTGTTTTTTCTTTATTTCCTGTCAGGACATACATTTAATCATGTGGGTAGGAAACATATGTTGCTTCCTTTGTACAACAGGTTTTATATAAGACCTTAAACATGTGTGTATATATTGTAACTTAATGTATAGTGTCTTTGTTATAATGTAATTTTTAATTAAAAATTCTATAGCTTTTTCTTATACTTGCTTTTGTTTGTTTTTAAAATAACTTTCCTGGAGATAGTAAAAGTTCTATTCATCTTATATAGGATTCTGAGTAAACAATTTAATACCTGAGAATTTTGGCTACAGATTTATATTTAGTTTGAAACCTGAGCGTTTTAAAGTATAACTTTAGTTACCATTACACTTAGGGATCTGTACTCTGCACTCCAGCCAAGCATTCATTCAGCATTTTAAAACCATATATGTAATAGCAATATTACATAATATATAATATCAATAACCTCTTTCCTCCATCTATTGGCACTAGGACACAAAATGCAGCTTTATGTATGGGAGAGTGATGACAGAAGTATATAATTAAAAGAGAAGGGATCCAGCTGAACAATGGTGGATCACATCTGTAATCCTAGGTACTCAGGATGCTGAGATAGGAAGATCATGGTTTGAAGCAAATCCAGGCAGGAAAGTCTGTGAGACATCTCCAATTAACCACCAAAAAATGCTGATCCTGAAGCTCTGGTTCCCAGGCCTTGAGTTCAAGCCCAGAACTGGCACAAGAGAAAGAAGAAAGAAGAGGAGGGCTGGGAAGGTGGCTCAGCGGTAGAGTGCTTGCCTTGCATGCATGAGGCCCTGGGTTCGATTCCTCAGCACCACATAAGCAGAAAAAGCCGGCGCTAGCCTTCAGCTGAAGAGCTAAGGAACAGAGCTCAGGCTCAGAGTTCAGGCATGACCGCCCCCTCTAACCCCCCCCAAAAAAAGAAGAAGAAAGAAGAGAAGCGGGAAGAGAGAGAAAGAGGAGAATCAGTATTATTTTTCCCTCTTTTGTTTGCCATTTTATTCTACTGCCTGTTTTTCAGGACCATAAAAATCTTAATCTCCCCAAGAGAGGGACTTGATTGGCTCTTCCTTATCAGCTGGATAAGGGCTTCAGATATCTAAAATAGTGTATTGTTTGGATATTAAGCAGCTATAGTTCTGTTTAATCAAAAGAATATTAGTATACTTTTACCATATTAGCTATGAATTCTATTGTTAAATGATAGAAGTGTTTATTGCTAAATGAATTCTTTAAACGTGTGTGTATGTGTGTGTGTGTGTGTGTGTGTGTGTGTGTGTGTGCGCGCGCATGTATTCAGGGTCAAATTCTTTCATATCTTTACAGAAGAGCTAACACCAATTTTCCACAAACCATTTCATAAAACAGAAAAGGAAAGAACTCTACCACACTAATTTTGTAAAGCCAGTATTAACTTCATACTCAAACTGAATAAAGACATCAAAAAAGAAAGAGAAAGAGGGAAAGGAAGGAAACAAGCAATCAAGAAAGAGAAGAAACAAATTTTAAACCAATTTCCTTGATGAACATATGTGCAAAAATTTCAATAAAGCCAGGTGCCGGAGGCTCACGCCTGTAATCCTATGTACTCAGGAGGCTAAGATCTGAGGATCATGGTTCAAAGTCAGCCCGGGCAGGAAAATCCCTGAGACTCTTATCTCCAATAAACCAGTAGAAAACCGGAAGTGGCATTGTGGCTCAAGCGGTAGAGCACTTGCCTTGAGCTAAAGAGCTGAGGGACAGCACCCAAGCCCAGAGTTCAAGCCCCACGACCGACAAAAAAAAAAAAAAAGATCAATAAAATACGTATCAACCAAATTGAACAATACATTAAAAGATTATATACCATCATCAGGTTGGCTCTATTCCAGAGACAAAAGAATGGTTCAAAATATGCAAATCAATAAATGTAACAGTGTCTAACAGAATAAAGGACAAAAATCAAATCTTTTTAATAGATGTAGAAAAAGCTTTGTCAAGATTCACCATCCCTTCATGTGGAAAAAAAAAAGCAACCCTGGAAATAGAGGAGTTAACTTCAATATTAGATATAAATGACAAATCTACAGCCAACATTGTATTAATAGGTAAAAACTAAATTCATCTAAAATCAGGAATTAGAAGGGTATCAACTGTCCTTATTTGCATTCAGTATAGGCATGGGATGCCTAGCCAGAGCAAGAGCAATAAGGCAAGAGAGAATATATATATATAGATAGATAGATAGATGTATATATATATATATATATATATATATATATATATATACAGAGAGAGAGAGAGAGAAACAAGCTAAAAAAGACTAACTACTTGACCATAAAACTTAGATCTGATTAATACATTCAGGAAGTAGCAGAATACAAAATCAACATTCAGTAGCAATGAACAGGCAGAGAAAACCTATCAGAAAAACTACTTCATAATAGTCTCAAAGAAATACCTAGTGATACTTAACAAAGGATGTGAAAGAATTCCATAATGAAAACTATAAAAACACTGAAATGGAAATTGAAGAAAGCTTAAGAAGGTGGAAAGAACTCCCATGTTCATTAATTAGTTAATATTGTGAAATGGATATAGTACCAAGAACAGTCTACAGATTCGATGTAATCCCTATTAAAATAAAAATGTCATTCTTCACCAAAATAGAAAAAAATCAACCCAAAATTCATTTGGAAGTATAAAAGACGCTAAAAGCAATTCTGAGAAAAAAGGGAAATGGCTAAAGGTATCACAATGCTTCACTTCAAATTATACTGCAGAACCATAGTAACAAAAGTATCATGGTACTGATACAAAACCAACAGGTGGACTAATGATATGGAAGACCCAGAAATAAATCCACATAGCAGAATCTGTCTGATTTTTTTTTGGTCTGGTCGTAGGGCCTGAACTCTGGGCCTGGGCGCTGTCCCTCAGCTCTTCAGCTCAAGGCTAGCGCTCTACCACTTGAGCCACAGTGCCACTTCCGGCTCTTTTCTTTTTGCCTATGTGGTGCTGAGGAATCGAACCCAGGGCCTCAGGCATGCAAGGCAAGCACTCTGCCACTGAGCCACCTTCCCACCCCTGACTGTCTGATTTCTGATAAATAAGCCAAAAACATAAATGGAAAATAGGCGGTCTTTTCATATGGTTAATCAAATACTTTCATGTAAGACTTGAAACATTGAAACTACCACTTGAACACAATGGAAAACACTGAAGATATAGGCATAGACAATAACTTTCTGAATAGAACTCCAAAATCTCAGCATGTAAAGAGAAAGAACTGACAAATGCGATTGCATCCAATCAAAAATCTTCTGCTCTTCCAAGAAAATAATTTCCAGAATTAAGAGACAGCCTACAGAGGCTGGGAAGGCTCAGTGGTAGAGTGCTTGCTTTGCACACATGAGGCCCTGGGTTCGATTCCTCAGCACCACATAATCAGAAAAAGCTGGAAGTGGCACTGTGGCTCAAGTTGTAGAGCACTAGCCTTGAGCTGAAGAGCTGAGGGACAGGGCCCAGGCCCAGAGTTCAGGCCCGTGACTAACCAGAGAGAGAAAAAGAGAGAGTGAGAGAGAGAGAGAGGAAAAAAACCTACATAATTGGGGGGGAAATTCTGTAGAAGCTACTAATTGGACAAAGGACTCATATCTAGTATAGGAAGGTTTTAAAAATTAAAACATCAAAAGAACAAATAAATCAAGGTGTCAGTGGTTCACACTTGTAATCCTAGCTATTCAAGAGACTGAAATCTGAGGATCATGGTTCAAAGCCAGCCCTTTCAGGAAAGCCTATGAGACTCTTATCTCCAATTAACTACCAAAAAGGCACAATTGGAGCTGTGGCTCAAGTATTAGAGCACAAGTCTTGAGAAGAAAACTCAGGGGCAGCACCCAGGCCCTGAATTCAAGTCCCAGGATGGGCAAAAGAGAACAACAATAAAAATTAAGTAATCCAAATAAACAAACTATACAGGCAATTCCCGAAATAGGAAGTGCAAATGGCCAATAAATATATGAAGAAATGTTAACATCTTTAGTCATTAAGGAAATGCAAATCAAAACATGACATTTCATATCACCCTAGCAGAATGCCTGTCACACACAAAAAACATGCTGGTGAAGACGAAGGGGAGCAAAAAAGGGGAGCGACCCTTAAACACTGCCTATACAAATGTAAATTAGTCCATGCACTATGGAAATCATTGTGATTAATCAAGACATTCAAAATAAAACTATGCTTCTATATGCTCTACCAAGCCAAGAGTGTTAGGGCATATATCCAAAGGATTGTAAAACAACATACGATAAAGATACCTGCATATATACAAAGAAAGACATGTATTTAGTTTTGAGCATTTGAATGGCATATCACTTATGTTTAAAAAGAAGTTTGGCTATTATGTTGAGAAAAGATTTTATGGTATTTCTGTTGTATCCTACTAGATAATAAAGTATGCATATGCAGAGACACTTGGCCATTTTGTTCATTGATACATCATGGTAACAGATGCTTACAGAATATTTTTTTGGCAAATGACCATCCACATTTCAAACTTAAAATGACTTACAGAGCATTGAAAAAAAAAGAAAAACCCAACAACAACCCTAAATGAGATGAAAACGTTGAGGGGAAAATAGGTAATTTTTTTTTTGCAGTACCAGGGTGTGAACTCAGGGTGTCACACTTGTTCAGCCAATGCTGTATCATTTAAGCCACACCACAGCCCTGCTTGCTTTTTTGGGGGGGGCGGGGGTTTATTGGGGGGCGGGGAGGGAGTAGTTCTTGGGGCTTGAACTCAGGCTCTGTCCATGAGGTTTTTTGCTCAAGGCTAGCACTCTACCACTTTGAGCAACAACTCCACTTGCAGTTTTTGAGGGGCTGATTGGAAATGAGTGTTGTGAGGACTTTTCTACTCAGGCTGACTTCAAACCATGATCCACAGATCTCAGCCTCCTGAGTAGATAAGATTACAGGTGTGAGCCACCAACACCCAGCCCAGCCCCAGTTTTTTTTTTTTTTGCTGGTTGTTTTGGAGATGGAGTTTTGCAGACTTTTGTGCCCAGTACTGGCTTTGAACTAGGATCTTTTGGACTTTACCCTCCTGAATAGTTAGGATTACAGATGTGAGCCACCAATCTGTGGCTGAAGAAATGCTTTTCAATAGGAGAAAAGGGAGAATTCAGTGCCCAAGTA